TGCAACGCAAAAGAGGTATCAACTCGCGGCGCCGCTCGTACATACATAACATCCTTAAGGTAACATATACTAGGTATGTAGGTAGTAGAGTTGCATGCGTCCAGTGGTACTGTATGTATGCAGCTAATATGTGGGCAAATGGGGCAAATATGTAGCATATGTGTACCTAAACTACTACCTTTCGATGTACCTACCCAAGGTCTAGGTGTAGGTAGTGTATGTACGTGCAGGCGAGCAGCCGCGCTATCTAGTATACTCCATCCGCTAACTCGAACATATGTTACCCGGTCCAGTTCTCGGCTGCTCTGGGGTACTTCCGTTAGTCACGGCCGTTAATGCAGCGCTTTCTAAGGTTGCGTCCGTAGAAAGTTATCTTGTTCGCATTCCTAGCATCTCCACTTCTTCTATTCTAGTTCCGGCGCATAGAATACAGGTACCTGTCTATCAGCATGTAGGTACTTAGGCATTAGTGGGCATTAGGTAGTGGACCTGAAAGTCGATATTATTATAAGCTCTCGTAGTTCGTACGCATGTGTGCTGCGCGCCAAACCGCTCCAGGGAAAACCCCCCCGGCTCGCCCTGCATCTACGCCATGCCCTCGCAACCCAGGTTTTACGTGCTAGGTATGTACGTTCCGGCAAAGCTCAAACGCACTTGGCAGGGCTAGACGCAATAGAGAGTTCCAATTTCGCAAAATAGTGACAAATTATCTGCTCACGTATATGTAAGACGGTACCTTGAGCACCTTGAAGGTCGCTTAAAGATATGTACATATGCTTGTAGGTGCTTGTATGTAAGCTGCTTGAAAGTATAATACATTAGGTGCATAATGCAATGCTCATGTCCTTATTATGGAAAGTAGGCGTGCAACTATGTAGATGCAAATAAGAGGCACTAACCACGGGACTAACCTATAGTAAGTAGGTAGGTAGGTATGTAGCTTCGACATCGCACCTTACACTATTACGTTGCGGCGTACCTACAGCAGGAAGTACCGGTAGCAGCAGGTGTCTTATTACTTATTATTTTACAGTAAAACAATCCATTCCGACTCTCTCCACCAATCTTATCTCATTATTACCTAGGTACATATTTCGCCATATCTACAACATAGAAACCTACCTTGATAGAAAGACTTTTCCTTTCCCTCTCCCTCTCCTTCTCCCCCTCCATACACTCCATACCGTCCCATACTAACTATGTAGTTCTCTTCTTAATGCCTCCGTCCACCCACGTCGAGTCATCCATGCTACTCGCCATCAGCCTCGCTCCGTGACTGGCTGGCCCTGTCAAGTATCAACCCCTCAATCCTCCTTCACATCCTTGCAAGCTTCCGATCTCCCGGAATTTCCACCCTTCTTGTACTTTGTACTAGCCTAGGGCAACTTACTGTACCAAACATTTTGCCGCGGATTGTTTTCGATCCAATACACTCTAAACCGTGGGCCAAGGCAAGCCTCTAAGCCTCTTAAGCCTCTTAAGCCTCTTATCTATGCAAAATCATCCCTCCCTCTACGCACACCACATTCGAATTTACGATTCCGATCCTCTTTGTGCGAGTGTGTTTTGTTTCTCGACGTCGCCGATTACATCCGCCTTCACCTTTAGCCGATTACTTTCGAATTATCTCATGCAGAAATTGAATTCAAATATCGGCTTCACTCCGGCTGCGCACCACCCACTCCAGATTTGTCACGTCATCCGGAAATACCCCAGCCAGACGAGAACGATTGGGGGCGATTCAGGACTTTTCGTCTTGTGAGCGAATACTGTCGTGAAGGGTTTCCAGTCGTCCTATCGTAGACGATAATCTTGTTCTCATGAAGGCAGCCACCGAATCCGCATTAGAGTTATAAACGTCGGGAGGATTTGGGTTTCTTTTTCTTCGTGGAAGGGGACGAACATTATTTCGACATGGCCGTGGTTCTTCCTTCAGAGGATAACGACCTCTTTTCCTCGTCCTCCTTGAGGAGATCTCATTCTCAATCTAGATTCATGTCGAACCCGTCGCAGAGCTTTCATACCTCGGCTTCTGCGTCAAAAATAAGCGACGCGTTTCACGAATCCTACCACGAGGTCTACCACCACCATCCTCAAATAGTACCCAATTCTAGCCCGTCTTCTGCTCCATCTTCTCCTCGTACTCTCCAACCCGAATCTTCCGAACCATCGTATTCTTCTACGCCAGCCACTAACCTATCTCTCGACGGACAATGCGAAGAAGATATTCGCATCCAACCCGATGACCACCTCTTTGTGTCCGGGCTTGGCCACAATCCGTATTTTGATCCGCTTGAGGACTTGGAACCGCCTCCGAGTCCTCGAACGGGCGATTCATATACCGTATCTCCAACTGACCCTGATACGTCAGCGGCTACCTCACGCCCAGAATCGCCGGATGCCTTAGAGCGTGCTGAAGATGATACAGCCGTTGAGCATCACCCTACTCAGCATGTCGATTATCTATCGCACGACTGGAGGGAAGAAGATATCTGGTCGTCCTGGAGGTATATTGTCGCCAAGAAGTCCGAGTACAGCAATGGGCCACGACTCGAGAACGCGTCCTGGAGGACTTGGATGAAAGCTAAGTATAATTTAAAAACAGTAACGCCGGAGACTCTAAATTGGTACGTCTCTCGTTATACACTCCGTTCAAATATCTGACCCATTTTCTAGGCTCAAAGACTGTGACGTGACTTGGCTCTACGGGCCTCTGCAAACTCGCCGTGGGGAATTATTTCCCAGCGATGCAGAACAAGAGAGCTCTAGACTGTCGAGATGTGACTCGTTTGTTAACAAAAAACCTATCCTTAAGAAGAGGAGTATGTCGGAGGTTATGCTCCAAAGGTCGCTCTCTTCCTCGTCGCTCTTAAAACAAGCTACGGCTGCAGTTCAGGCTCAACAAAAAGATAGTGCCGTCCGTGTTGGCCGACCCATACTACTCCGCGCCACCACAGATTATGTTACCTTCCCCTTCTCGTCCAGAAGGAGGAGCGGCGAGAATACGAGTATGCTACCATCCACAGCTTCGTCTGGTATTGTTTCACCTTCCTCGGAACGGAAGCATATTCACTTTGACGAGCAGGTCCAGCAGTGCATCGCAGTTGATGTAAAGGGAGAGGACGAGGATGAGGATGAAGTGAATCACCGCCGTTGGGCATATGACGACGACAGCGATTCCGATGATGGCGCAATCATGATGAAGAGAACCAAGACGTCCAAGAAACCCATCCTTCCACGAAAGAGGTCTCCGGTGAATACACCTGCCGAGAGTAAGACCATCGCGATGCTACCTTCGACGACTTTGAAGTATAGAGAAGATTCCCCCAACCCTGAAACTGCAATGAAGCACAGTACAGGCAATTTGAGGAGTCCAATCATATCACCGTCTCCCTCCCAAGAGACGTTAAGACCTTCCAAGGCATCAGGCCCATTTCTTGTAGGTGACGATGGCGAAGAATTAAACGAGGAGACCAGCTCAACCCCAGTATCTAGCCCAGTGGACGCAACGTCACCCTTTAAACAAAGTCCCCTACGTTCCTCCTCCACGAATAATCACCTCAATGAACCAACAGGCATGCGTCGGACAGAGAGTGGCATGTTCATGCCGTTTGAGGAGGGCGATGTCCAGCCTAACGATGGAATAATTGGTCGGGTAATAGATACGGTCAACACCGCTCGGGATATCGCACATGTCATCTGGAATGTCGGTTGGAGGAGGTGATAGGGTCACATCGTTTCATCGTCGAAGCACAGGATCTAATAGACGGGGAGTAGCCATGGATCGATGGGAATACCCTTATCATCGACAGATAAGGACGCTACTTGGTGTGGTTCTTGTTCCAGTATGTCCTAGAACCGCATTTCGTGGTTGGTTCGATAGGACATCGGCTTGCCAACGCACCGTCGGGGGTTTACCACCTATAACTGCATAGTATCTGGCATCTGGCAGATTGACTAATGCGCTAATATTTTTCAAAAGCAAAATCACTTTCATATCAATCAGAGAACTCGGGTCTTTGGAACTGGAGTGGGGAAGACAATTACACGGAGCGGAATCACGGAAATACCACGGGAGGGTTTTCCTCCACCGGCGATTTAATGAGGCGTTCTATGTATTGATTTACCATCGGAATTATATCATCGGCGGATTGAGGTGGAAGGGTCAAACTATAGAAGGAAAAAAAGCAATATTATCGAAGTGCGTTTCGGGGGCACCCCTTTGAAGAACGGACAGCTACGAGGATCGTTTATTGACCCCTGGTTGTCGTAATGCTGGGAGAGCAGAGAGCTAATTTGTCTTACCACACACTGCTGTAAAATGCCTATGGGGCGGCTTTGTCGATTTTCTCGGCTGCTTCTCTCAGCAAGGACACATAATGGGTGAATTAATCGGCGTCTCGTGGATTTGGCCTTGGGAATGTACTTTTGGTTGTTACAGAGCCGGTAGGGCGGCTTACAGATAGATTCGCCCAGAGCAATAAGAGGTAGTTGGGCAATAGGCAAGCCTGCAGGGTTTTATGATCACGATAAAATACAGAAGTCCCTAGGGATTTGGTCATAATTCTTTTTTTTTTTCTGCTTTGAGTGATGTGTTGATTGATAATTCCTTCCTGCTCGCATAACGGTTTTTATGATGAAGCCAAAGTCTATGCATAGTAGGCCTATAGTAAGCATATATTAGATACCTTTGTCCTAGGTCCAGTCCGAGCTCGTGACCTCGAGGTTCTCTCGTCCGTCCTGTCGAGATGGTATTTTATAGGGTCTTGATAATTTAAAGGGGTTTGCGTATAGTATCGTTTCCACAAAGTCCAAAAAGATATAATAAATCTTAGAAGTGTATATCATTGTCTCTAAATAGCTCTATTGCACGATATTTTCCTGGGAGGCTCTACTACTCTAATATTAGATATAAACACATACCTAGTTACGAATGGTCTATATGATCAGAGTACCTAGTAGTATTAGCAAAGTTATCACAGTAGAAGAAGCAGATGGTATTCGAAGTAATGGAGTCGTTTTTTATATACGTATACATCGTATTTTACATAACACGCGTAGCAATATCTATAGCAAGATGTATCCCTTTCCCCTTCCTCTCCCTTCTCTCCAAGCCAGGCCCCTAAGCCTCGACGACCTCAGCCTTATTCCCCTCCGGCACAATAATCTCCTCCTCACCCACCTTCTTCAGGACCTTAACCGCCTCGACGTAGACCTTATTCGTATGCACGTTGACATTATGCAGCTTAACTTCGTAGACGTCTCCGACGCGCACCTCGGCCATCCGGATGACGTCGTTCAGAGTCTCGGTGCGCAAGAGAGCAGTCCGCTCGAACCAATCCAGACGTCCTTGGGCTGACCGGCGGCCGTTCACGTGCAAGACCGTGAACTGGAATGTCTCGGGGATCTTGGCCTCGCCGAAGCGCCACGCGCGCACCAAGGCCTGCAGGATCCACTGATCGCCGCCCTCGCCGCGGATCAGGGCGCGCGCTTGCTTTTCGCGCACCCGGATCATAGGGAGCATGCGGTCTAGCTGCTTGCGGCTGAAGGGCAGGAATGAGTCGTCGCTCTTGTTGCCGCTTAGCGAAGTGCCGGAGGTGTGCTCCTTCAAAAGGGCGGCTTCGATCTGCCAGTGAACGATCAAGTCCGAGAACCGACGGAGCGGGGATGTCGCCTTGGTGTACATATCGACGCCGAGCGTGAAGTACGGGCCGGCGGTCGTAGTAAGCTCGTCGTTTCCGGTGAGAGTCCAGAGGTAGCGCCACTGGTTATCGTCGGGCCGGATACCTGCTCTGAGCAGAGGGTAGAAGACGTCGCGGGTGTACTGCTGGACTTTGTCGATGTTCTGCGTGGCGTGGGGCTGCGTGCGGAACGGGATTGGAATGCCACGCTCGTGGCACCATTTAGCGGCGATCTCACCAGCCAGTCGCATGGCATTTTCGACCAGGTCAGTCGCGGAGCGTTTAGAGTATCCAATACGGATTGAAGGGTCCCCTGTCAAAGCCGTGAAGTTGTCGATCTCATGCTGTGGAAGGTGGTCAAAGTAGGCCATTGCTTCGGGGCGAGGGTGAAAGAAAGGAGTGGCCCCTTTCTTAAGTCTGTGACCATGGATAGCCTTGCCCAATTCCGAAAGGAGCGCCAAGTCACTCTTTTGGTCCTCACTTAAGTGTTGGGGCCGAGTCATCTGTCTTGGAGGCGTCTTGGCCTTCGGAATAGGACCAATAATTACCTCGTCTTCTTGTCCGGTAGCGGGATGCTCCCGGTGGTCTTCAATTACTGAAGCAACATCCCCATCGGTCATGTACACGACATCCTCTAGAATTCCGGGTGTAATCTTGCGATCCAAAACGTGCCCGTCCTTGTCTACCAACGCACTAAACGTCAAGCAAGGTCTGCCTGGGGCTAAAGAAAATCTGTCTGGGCCAATATTTTGGGGTAGCATACGCTCGAAGTGACCAGGCAAGTATATCGTTTCTGGAATCAGCTCGGCATACTTAGCAACAGGCGTTTCGGCCTGGATTGAAGAAGCCGGATCTGCAACATGGATATGAATCCAAAATTGGTTAGGATTGGAACTCTTCTCGATTGAGACGGCATCGTCGATATCCATGGTAGTCTCAGAGTCGATGCAATAAGCAGTGAGTTTCCAGGGTTTCCTCATGGGAGCTAAGATGTCTCCTTTTATGTGGCGATCAAGATTGCCGTAGTAGGGTCGAACGTAGCCTCCTCCCCGTTTAATCTCAACACCTGGGAAACGTATGTTATATCGAGCAGGAATTTCCCAGGATGGTATCCAGCCAACTTCTTGTAGGAAAGTCCAGCCTGTTGATACTGAATAGCCTCCGGCGTCTTGATACCTGTCGAGGGCTCGTAAGATAGTAGATCCAAAGCATTGAAGTCGTGAGTAACTTGGAAATTTCTGGTAGCTAGACCATAGCTCCATAAATTGCAATATCTCTAAATCGGTCGGGGACCACTGATGGGTAGCTGGTGCCGACGCTTTTGCCGAAGTTGCTTTTACCTTTGACGGTCCAATGATACCGCTTTCTGTCCATAGTCGAGTTTCTCGGCTCTGGTCGATCAGTTTGCGAGCGTTTTTGATGAAACTGTGCACCGGAGATGGACCGTCCTTTTTACCTTCTCGTAAACCCACGTCTATTTCTAAGTAATCTCGGACTAGGCTCTCTACTTTCTGGATGATTTGTACCTCGGACAGCGGACTGATTTCGAAAAGATACGATCTTCTGTGGCCGGTCTGCCTGAGGGGTCTGAAGAAAACTTCATCTTGCAGGAGAGATCTGTGAACAGCGTACAGGGCTACCGGCTCAAACTTTCCGTCCTTTTGATAAGATTCAGGAAGCAGTAGCTCGGTGATTTCGTGCAGGGTCAGATATCGATGTTTCAATGGATCGCCGATGAAAGCGCTAGACGCGTCGAGTGTACCGGCATTTCCTTGATACACGGCTTCTGCATCATGGGCAAAATTTAACATCTTACGCAGCAGCTTAGCTCCTGCGGTTCTAGAAGGACCATGGCCAAGATCCTGAAGAGCATTCAGGGCTTCTAACGGTACGGCGCCAGTCGGTAGTTCCTTGAGGACAGGTTCGAGCTCAGCCGGAGAGACGAATTTTTGAACAACGAAAAGCGACTTGACGCCTAGGCCGACGAACCATTTACCGCTGCTTGTGTAATAGTGATCATAGCCGTGGTAACGACCCAAGCAAATTGCCAACATAGGTCGCCTCGACCCTTCGGAGCTATAGAAGCCCAGTTAGTCTCGATATGAAGAAGAAGAAAAAGGGTATCATACCTTAACTCAACCATGTCTCCGGGTCTTAGAATGGCATCGTCGGAGCGCAGGTCGCCAAGTTCATCTCCATCGAATAGCGGCGCGGCCACATCAAAGGTACCCATGGACACATTCTGCGGGCGAGTGAAGCTGTTGGATAGCTCGCCTGTATCTGCATAATCAGACAAGATGGTTTTTACTTCATCTTGGTTTTCTTCCTCCCATTTCCTTAAGCGTTCTCGGATGGGTATTTTGTTCCCCTTTCCGTCTTGTTCTTCTAAGGCGCGCAACTGCGCAAGTGGATCATTACCACTTAGATTATAATGTTGCGCGGTAGCTAGAGTCTACAGAAATGTTTTAGGATTAGGACGGTTAAGAGGGACATGAAAGTCTGCTATCACATACTCTTTTCCATAGAGGTTGGTTAATTCTTGGCAGAAACGTCGCATCTGACTTTGAAGCTACAGGTGATGTGACCCTTTGAAAAGCACATCTCCAGCATACATAAGATTTACTCGACGTCCGTAGCATTGTATCTACGTGCCGTAAATGAAAGAAAGATTTTTGTTAAAGATAATTTCTCGTTGTTCTGTTTGTTCTCATCGTGGCAAAAATTTGTTGTTGAAAGTTTTAATAGTGAATGAGTGGGTCGCATCATACGTCCTTAGGCTTAGGTATCAGCTGTACTTACATTAAGAGCAGGTGGCAACGGTCCGTCACTACTCCGAGACTCGTTATCAAAATTATCAAAATTTAAAGAGTTTAAATCATAAACCTTAACTAGTAAATACCTTCTATACGCAAGTCTTCACTTCCAATTAGAAGCGATTCCCTTCTTTGTATAGTCATATAGCCAATAAACCGAGGATTAGTTACAACACTCACTCTCTCATGACTCTCATGACTCTCATGGGTAATGCTCATGACTTGAACCATGTCAGTCCTGTTTTCGAATATGTTGTAAGAACCTGACAGGATATTATCTCATGTCTTTCAAATATATCAAGTGCATCTCCGCGGCAAATAATATATGAAAGGAGTCTTTCGAGCCCGCCTGTTCGCCAAGTGTAAACTATGTCATCTTCTCAAAGGCAATCATAAGCCTTTGTGTACCGTAAGTAGGTTTTTCTATTTGACCTCTCGTCTTCCCACCTATTATCTCCTCCTAACTCGTGACTTATTCCATTACACCCTTTTCCCCCTTGGAATACGTTCTACCAAATCTAGAAACATGGCTGCCAAACGCTTTGCAATTTTGATGTTAGCTAGCAGTGCCTTAGCACAGACGTCCGACATGGAAAACATGCCGCATGCGACGAGCATGTCGAGCACTGCTTCTCCCATGAGTGAGATGACTTCGATCTCACAGTCGGTTGGTTCCTCCACCGGCATACCCGGCTCAAATACGACGGCTGCGGTTAGCAGTTGGGCAACTTCTACGCCAGCGGAACCATCCACGTTTAGTCCTGTCACGGCCAATGAGACACGGACGACAGCTGGGATGCCGATGGGTACCGGCGGGGTGACGCCAAACGCTACTGGCGGTGGGCAAATCCCTGTGTCAGGCGCCGGAGCTGTGAACAGCATTTCGGTAAGTCCGTCTTCTTATGTTCTTGGCTTGTAGTTGACATTTGATACAGGTTGGTCTGTTCGCCGTCTCCATAGCGTTTGCCGCCTCGGTGCTGCTGTAAAGCATTCTACGCCGACTGCCAGTTGCCGGACTCTCACATATCGCGATGAAGTTCGATTATAAACGGGGAGAGTTTCAGACATAATCTAGAACACGTTCTGTAAAACCACTTGGATCAACTCTTGGAATCGGCCATAAGATCCATCAACGCTCGACAACATTCCTGATCCGGAGAAAATCGTTACGATATTTCCTTGGTGTGGATATGGGTTCGGGGTTGAGTCGTAGATCTGTAGTATTAGTCTGTTAATAGAAAAAGGCAACATATATGCCAATCTTCTCAAGACAGTGTACTAAACATAACGTGGTGAGGCTCTAAATAGAAATATTAGGATTGACATTTGATATGCCTGAAATAACGTGTTATTTAAAAGCTTGAATAATGGGGATGTGGAGGACTAACCTGATCCCAACCTTCGATGGAAAGTCGGCAAAGATTATTACCCATTCTAGGTAAGTTCCAAATCGGGAAAATAAGACTTGGCTGCTTGGATAGCTGAAGCTGACACTGACAACACAGCCAACGACCCAATGCCTGTCTTATCATTTATGAGGTCGAATAACCAACAACGGCACCCAACCACGTGTACAGCGCCAGCGGTCAATCCCTTTTTCCATGATTACTATGTACATAGTAAAGTCCCTAGCGCGTACAGTACTACCTAGTATGCGCCCAGGGCCCAATTTTGACGTCGACCCTGACAATAGGCTGTCTAGACTCTAGGTTTCAGGCTACAAGAACCTGTTAATCTGGCATTAATCTTGTTCGGGTCCACAGTCCAGCCAACATTCGCTCTATTAAGGGGTTATTCAAGGCTTTAGGCTCAAGCGTCACGAAAGATTTGGTAAAGCCTTGTGTAGAATCAATGGCCGCTGTTTGGCTGTGTAGAATAGGAGAAGGGAGCTAGAGTCTTTAAGTGCCTAGGAAGCTTATGTTAGCCTGTGGATAATTACCACGTCCATGTCATCCTAGGTACATTGGTCACATATGTAGATGTGCTGTCGGTCAGAATCCTGGGGAAGCTAGCTCGTTTTTTAGTATCTAGAGGTCTGGCCGTTCGGCGTAGGGGAAGGGTGGGTGCCGAACAGGAAGGACGATCTGATCAACGATCAACAAGAGTAAACTTGCTAGGCATCTAAGATCACACGGCTGTTAATATGCAAGCCATCCGCTACTCAGCTTAACCTAGCTCTCTACTACGCAGCAGGAAGGAGGATAAACCGGTACCAACTCTTAATAATCCTTCGCATCGTAATGACGTGGGTTATCGAAATGGAATTGAAAGTACCTAGCTAAAGCAGGGGAGAATACGAGCCAATCAAGCGGTGATGAACTCCCGAACGAAAGAGAAGGGAAAAAAAGGAGTGCCATTTCATATTTGCCAATTCTCCATGTCTGTCTTAGTTGGTGATGCGCTTGAAGCTCCAATGAGCCCTAATAATAAATGCATACGAGGGTACTTTTCCGATGTACATAGTATGTAAGCCGAGATAAGCCTAGTCCTGCAGGTACGCTGCAGCTCTAGACCAGCTCTAGGACAGAATAGGTTTAGTCAGGGCCGATGCGTAATTTCGCTTGATGGTCGGGTAATTTCCCAAGGCGACAAAGGAAAGACCGCAAGTCCCCACTGGAAAGAAAGGGTTGCCTTCCAAGAAGAGTCGATTTTACAGGCCAAGGCCATATTTGATTGGCCGCAAGCAAAAACCTCTATGGATATTCTCCTAATTGGGATAAGCTTACAACCCCCATTCTAACCCCCTTTCTTCACCTTTCTTTCGACGAATCTTCCTCGAAACCCAGTCCAATGGTCAGTTTTGTACAGCTCATCTTGGACCCAAGATGGATGTTACTTTTTTGTCCAGAATTTCCGAGTTCGACCACTATGGACCTACTTTTATGCACTGAGGGTCAAGACACTCTGGCCGGCTATTCGTCCGTGGAGGATTCCGCGAGCTGCCAGGTAGGTAGTTTGTCAGGTAGTTTGTCTGTGCAAATCGAACAGAAACTGGGCCACGCTTGAGCAGGCAACCCTGGTAAGGGATCCATCCATCACAGGAACCATTTGCAAGATGCAGAGGACGGAGAGCAAGGGGACCCAGGATCAGCGGGGACCAACGCTGCCACCCCCATTTGCCCCATTGCCAAAAACAACCATCAGGTAAAATTGGCGCTCGCTGGCTGGGCAGCGCTGGGACGCAATGGTGCCCTAATAAAAGTACAAGAGATCTGCCGTTCCCATGATACCCTCCTTTCCTCTTTTCTTTCCTCACGAAACGACCCTGTTGATGTCGATGCCGTGACGTGAAAGCATCTCTCCAGCTTTCGTCCTTGTTTTCTGCGTATCCAACCCACCGCTTCACTCTTTTAGCGGGCACTCGTTTTCACGATATCACGAAAATAAACAAACAAACAGCTCTACAATTAAATTCGCGCAATCTACGGTCAATTGGAGTTTAGTTCGAAGGAATTTCAACAAGTAATAATGAAGGCAACTTTCGCGGTCGCCGCTGCTGCGGCCCTGACCGGTGTCAACGCTGTCAGCGTTCACCACCGACACGCTCGCGCCCACGATGCGTTCCACGCCCTCGAGAAGAAGGCTGACAATGCCACCTGCGGATGTACTACCATCTACAGCACCTACTATGGTGAAGCCACTCGTATGTTATAGATCCTTTCGCAGCTATCAGAATAAGTTCCTAATCATAGATGCTAGTCTCGTTCCCTCCGGTTCCCCCCACGACTTCTGCTACGCCTGTGGCTACTCCCTCTTCCACCTCCACCCCTCCGCCGCCGCCAGCCACGACTACCTCGACCGCCGTGCTCGTCCCGACGCCAATTCCCCAGACTATCTCGACCACGGGTGTCTACACTTTCCCTGCTACCACCGTCACTCTGACTGAGTCGACTACGGTATGCGTTCCTTCCACGACCGCTGTCCCCAGTGGTACTCACACCCTCGGCGGTGTTACCACCGTCGTCACAACCGCGACTACGGTTACCTGCCCGTATGCTACGGTTTCTACCAGCGAAGGTGTCACTACCAGCATCATTGAGACCACGACCTACGTCTGCCCGTCTGCTGGTACCTACACCATTGCTCCCATCACGACCACGGTCGATAAGTCCACCACTGTGACCGTCCCTTCCGTCACGAACTACCCCCCTGGAACCTACACTCAGCCTGAGGTTGTCACCACTGTCACTGAGACCAACACCGTTGTCTACTGCCCGTTCGACATTCCTACTCCTAGCGTTTCGAGCACTCCCGTCCAGGTTTCGAGCACTCCCATCCAGGTGCCGGCCTCGGTCTCCGTTGTCGTCCCCACCATCATCCCTACTATCGTCCCCACCATTCCCACTGTTCCTAAGGTCTCTACCTCTATTGCCGTGGTTCCCAAGCCCAGCTCGTACCCGGCTTCTTCTCCCTCTTCTTCCTCTTCCCCCTCTTCTTCTTCCACTCTCTCTACGCCCAAGCCCAGCGGTACTCTCGGTGGACCGGTTGGCCAGCCATGGGGTATCTCGTACACTCCTTACGAGACCAGCCAGCAGGGTGGATGCAAGAGCGCTAGCCAGGTTGAGGAGGATATTGCTGCTATTGCCGCTGCCGGTATCAAGTCCGTCCGTGTCTACTCCACTGACTGTGATACCCTCCCCAACGTTGGTGGCGCTTGCGCTAAGCACGGCCTGAAGATGATTCTCGGTATCTTCATTGACTCTCCTGGCTGTGATGCCCACAACCCCAGCGTTTCTGAGCAGATCAGCGCCATTAAGAGCTGGGCCAAGTGGGAACTTGTTGAACTTATCTCGGTTGGTAACGAGGCTGTCTTCCACGGTTACTGCGAGCCTTCTGAGCTCGCTTCCCTCATCACCAAGTGCAAGGGCGAGTTCAGCGGTTACACCGGCCAGTACACTACTGCTGAGACTGTCAACATCTGGCAACAGAGTGACTTCTCTTCTGCTATCTGCGGTGTCGTCGATGTTGCTGGTGCCAATGCTCACGCTTTCTTCAACACTCAGACCGCTGCCCCCCAGGCCGGTCAGTTTGTCAAGGGCCAGCTCGATATCGTCAGCAATATCTGCCAGGGTATCTCCGGTATCATTCTTGAGACCGGTTGGCCCTCAGCCGGTGAGACTATGGGTCTTGCCGTTCCCGGTGTAGCCCAACAAGCCGAGGCTATCAAGAGCATCGTCGAGGAGTGCGGTGACAAGTCTGTCATGTTCAGCTTCTCCTCCGACGCGTGGAAGGACCCTAACACTGCCTGCAAGTGCGAGCCTTACTTCGGTGTCGCTGCTGCTCTTGGCATCAACATCAACATCAGCATATAAGGTGCCTTCTAAACGCGCACTAATGGCGTTATATTGTATATTGTTACGTCTTTATCCAAACGGGTTGCAACATACACGCTTTTGGCTACGGAGAAGTATATGACTAGGCTACTGTCAGGGCGGTTCGGTTGTTGTATATCCGGAGGATCCGTATCCGTAGTTCCCTTTGTAATAAGAGCGATGTCTAGGGTTGGACTGGCGGCGCAAGGAAGGCGATAGATGTATTTCTTGAGAGTAGCTCTATCCTAGGTGTCAATACTCGGCCCCGTTCCGAATATAGGGTCTGATTCATAATGTTGTAATCTACTAGTAACTATCTATTATTGGATAACTAACACTGTTTGTCTTTACGGTTTCTGTCATGTTCTGTGATACGCTATTTTGAAATGTGCTATTAAAAATATTTAGTAATAATTTTGAAATTTTATTGTGTTTTATATTATGTTCAACTATTCCGTATAAGGTAGTCAGTATTGAGTTACCTATCTATGAGTTTTCATTGTTCCCTTTTCAAGTCCAACTTCCTAGGAAGTCGGAGCGATATCGTCAAGTAAGTACAAAAATCCTTATGCGTCAATCCCTTATTTCCCCACCAAAACTCACCCATTTCGTAAGGCCATAAATGGGCAAAGAAAATGAGGAAAAAGGAAAACTATTATGTCCTTTTATTTTTATAAATCATCAGGAAAGGTATATATATATTTTTTGGTAATCTTATAATTTCCTTGTTTTTTTTCGCCTTTTCGTAGCTGTGTAAGGACAGGTAGCTTTGGTGGGAAAACGCGGGACTGACGTATAAGAATGGTATGTAGATACGTGTATATTTCCTACTTGCAACAATTACTACTGGTTCGTTAACCTTTACCTTGCTCACCTGGATATTTCGGTAATAGTATTCCTTTTGTAACGGGCTGCCGTTACGATGTCACATTTGTGTTCCGGATCCGGACCCGCGCTGTCGATCTGCTCTAGTTATTTAGTCCTGTTTCATAGTTTTGGCGTGAGAATGTCAACAGGTTTTTGTACATGTATTATGGGAGAATCAACCTGGTTTAGGCGATGGGCTTGAAACGTGGGGTTGCGGCTTTGCGGCTTTGATAAAAGGGGTTTTACGCTTTTTATGGTTGTTTTTTATATGGCGTTTGTTATTGTTTATACGAAATGATGTGGAGTTTAGATGACTGATGATATAAAATCCGGTAACTTGACATTATTGGCTACGTAGATAGATACAATATCATGCATTCGTCGACCTCAAAAGCAATAGCTGTACGGATACTAACAGCTTCTAGAGCACTTACTCTATTAGATAGTCTAGGGAACAGTTGAAGAGGGTATTTGTCTTTCGTGGAAGGAGTGCTAAAATATTTATACCTAGTAGTAACGGAGGTGCAGTTCACCAAAATCTTGACCAAGCATTACACACCACACACATTGAGAAGTCGGAATAAGTGTCATAATTACAGCCCACTCACCAAGTAGGTCCCTATCCCTATCCCTATCCATTCGTTCTATCCAGTCATGCCCTTCAGCCTGTGTACAAACCAACTATATGGTACACCCGATGTCGACGCGCAACGCTTGCTTCGCATCGTTCATTCATTCAAACTGCCAAGAACATGAAAAAAAAACCATCCGATAACACACTTTCCGACCAACGCCGCCACGAGTGCTAGAGCCCATATATAGAAGTGGCCCACTACAAAATCCTGGCCTATGCATTCGTTAAATAACCCTATCCCTCATTCCATGTATCTACTGTGCTCAAGCCGCGGGATCCGACTCGGGGATCTCGAGCGTCTCTTCCGGGTTGGCTTCAACTGGTAACTCAACCTCCTTAACCGGGTGAAGTAGCATGGGCGGTAGGCACATTCTGCCCTCTCCACCCCGCATTTCATTGACATTGGTGCCGTTCTTGCTCTCGTCTGCGGTCAACTCGAACTCTTCGCCTCCATCGTTGTTGACCTTTAATCCGAGCCATCTTCGGTACAAGTTGGGTGCGAAACCTGAGTTGTAGAACCAGGTGAGACCTATAAGATTATGCTCACGCTGGCCAAATACGGAAGTACGGGCGCCTCCTGTAGCTCCATTTTTGCCGTTGTTGAGGGTCCTCTCAAAGACCTCCGTAGGCCACTCGCGGTCCACGTAAAGAGGGTGTGGTACAAATACGGCCTTGTAACCATGTTGCAGAGCAACGGTACCTGGCCACATCTCTGGGAAAGCGTGATGTTTCAAGAAGGCAGTCTCTCGGTGCATTTTCATGAGTAAACGACGAGACATGCGTGATGCTGTGATGATCTGAGCCCTACGAGGCGGCAGTCCATTGCTACCCGTTGTGTTATAGCCAGTAATGTCGTCAGCCAGACCCCAGGTAGTTCCTTCTGGATCGAACATAGGGTTGAACGTAATATAATCAGCCTCTTCGCCAACTCCCCACACGTATTTATCCTTTTCGTAGGTTGTCTCGGGTACGGGATCATCGTCTGGTTCAAACCAATCTTTAGGATCTTTGGGTCTTTCAGGACCCCAAATAGGCTTTTCGCCACGACCAGACTGCGATTTCTTGTTGGCTCCGGGAACATTGTCCCATATATTATCGGCACCTGTAGTGCCCATCTCAGTCTGCACTCGCGCCATCTGCTTGAAATCCTCCCACGTTCCATGGACGGAAGGCAGGTAAAATCGAGAATTTCGTTCCCACAGACCCTTACGTGGCTGTTCCTTGGCCCAATTCTCTATCTTGGTGAACAAGTCATAGTAATGGCCAATGTATCGAATGTCCATCTCCCACTGCCAGTAATAGTCATATTCTGGGTGTAAGTAGGCAAAATGTTGCATAGCCATTTGCAAGCCACGGTAGACACCGTGAACGGGCAAATCCGGACCACGAGCGAAAAGATCGAAAATTCCCTGGTAAAGCGATAACATTTGGGTTTCTGTCCAGAATGTGACAATACCTCGGAATTCCTCCGGTATAGTCTCTTCAATTCGTCGTTGGTATACGGCCGCATCTGCCCAAATTGGGTGTGCAGCATCATTCTTAACTTGAACGAGCAGGTGAATATCATATCGACCACCGGATGCTAGCACCAATTCGCTGATTAGGGAGCGAATGTTCATTATATCCTCTTCCCTCCAGAAGTATTCATCCCAGCACCGGATCACAACCGCGGTCCTTGGCAACTGCTTCCCTGCAGTCCCACCTTCGGCGGCTGGTACCGGCTTCTTTTCCTTGACAGTTTTGTCTGTCTTGTCGGTTGATGTCTTGTCGGTTGATGACTTGGGTGATTCGGGAACTGGAGAGTCACGCGCCTGGAGCTTTGTAGCAGCAATGTCCTCATTGATGTAGAAACCATGAGGAGAGGGCTGTCTAGCGGGCACTTGCTTGTAACGACCAGCATTTGTCTGATAGCACCGTCTCTGAACATCCGCCCAGTCCGTCCCTCTCCAGTCGACTTGGGGCACCTTGTCCCAAGTCGCCTCAAAGCCTTCCTTTTCACCGTGTTCCCCAGTACCGAGACCGCCGGACCTAACGGAATAACCGAAACCATATGGCCCATATCGGCCATAGCGTTCGAAGCAGATATCCTCGGGAAGCCCTAGGAGCTCATAGGAACCGAGCACGGGGTCAGGGAAACCATGGGGACGCCCCTCATAGTAGCGAATAGGAGGCACGCGTACTTTGTTTGCCTTGTCAATGTAGCATTCCTGAAACTGCTCAGGGGCATCCTGGAAAACACTCTGGGGATACCGGATATACTCTTTACTGGCAGGCAAGTTCCGCTCTTCGACGTCTGATTTTAAGTTGGTGCTGTTGACATAGAACAACTTGTCTATAGGCTGCTCTCCTTTGAATAGGGGATACTCGGGCGTGTTCTGGGAAAAGGGTACCAGGTTCCTAATACCACCGTAATATCTTGTAAGGAATGGGAATTGCTCCCACGAAGGAGGTGTGGATGGCGGCCTGTTAATCCTGCCTTCAGCAAGGGCTCTGTTCTCATTGTGACTTGCTCGGATGAGCGAGAATATCATCGAGACAATGAAGAATGTTAAGCCAAAGCAGAGATACCGAACGACCTTGTTTGGTAAACGGTAGTTGATTGGTTGGCGCGGTTTACGAGGAACTGGGAAGGCTCTTTTAGGTATGATAGGGGTTGCTGTAGAAGTTGAAGCACTTGTGAATCTTGAGTTGTTTGTACCAGGAGATGAGGTGGTAGAATAGTCGTCATAATCAGAATCGTCATAAGAATCGTTTGAATTTCGTTCCTTGCTTGTAAGATGTACATTTTCGTAAACAGGCAATTGGGATTGCCGACCCTCGCGGGAACGCAACGGGTTCGAAAGAATTCCCATCTTAGATGGGGAGCAAGATTCTGTTCGACGGTATTAGTATTACGACGTTTTCAATAAACTGTCTGTCTAAGAGAGGCTACGAACTTGTACACCAAACTGTACACCAAACTCGATCCGATTGCTTGGGCTGTTTCCCTGCGCCCGGCTTGGGTGATGATGCTAGGTAGCGACAGACTCGCGAGTCGCGAGTCGCGATAGATACCCACAAATACGTTTGATATTCGCGTGTATTGGATCTACCCTTTTGCAGAGGTTGATTTCGAGTTTGCAAATAAACACGAGGAAATATAATTCAAAGTCGAGGGGTATATCTATATCGTAATCGATAGGTAAGTTGTTGATGAATTTGTTTGGAGATTCCCACTTTCTCCTTTTCAGTCCAATGGCCACTGGCCCCCTATCCCTGTTCTTACCCCTGTCATGTTGACGACCTGGCAACCGTAGGAAGGTACGGATACGGGTACCTAGGTACTTCAAACGAGGAAGCTACGTAATTGCTGGTGCTGAACCAATCAGAGTAGTTTGTCTCTCCTAAATAGACGCCCCAATAACGGTTCGGATAAGTGAGGTTAGATAAGGTGCATTCTCTGACTATTACATACCGCATACATAGGTATACTGCATTATGTCGGAAACCTTGTATTGACTTGTTGAATGCATTTTGTTACTTGAAGTCGGCGGTTGGACGTCGTACTTTGACATTGGCAAACTTCACCTTGACATGTTATGTTATCTCCTGCGTGCAACGTTGTTATTGTGTATAAAGAGAAAATTCAAGAGTCTCCTCTATCAACTTGGAGATTTCCAACCCTCAATAATAAGAATCATCCACATGATCATAAACGCCACAGCCTTAGCAAATATGGTTGTTAAGACAAAGCAAGCACTTTTAACCACATAGAGTTCATCGCATGAGCTGAGTTACAACCGCTCACATTTATATCCTACTTCGTAGTTACATGTCTTAAACATTTATCCTAGGAGCGTATCGGACGTTCATAAGCGCGACAACTTGCAGCTTCTTGCAGCCTCGAGACGCCGATGGGGATCGATCCGATGTCCGTACTCATCGTTACTGGGCGATGCTATGTCTGGGTGCAGCCCGGAACGCCTCACTGCAGCCGTTTTGTAGCAAAGTTGCAACGTCGTCTCCGAGTGCGGGCTCCCATCTGCAGCCACATTGAGGAAGAATTGCTACCTTGGACAGTTTATACTTGTGCATATCTGCAGGTCCGGTCACAAAGACGCAGCAAACTAAACTTTACAATTGTGTGAAGGCACACGAACTTTTCGCCTTATACCTACATATTACTATGTCTAACTCGGGGGCTTGGACTGAATTAATTCAAAGTAATTCAAAGTTCTGTTTTAGGGTTAAAGAGATCTAATACATCACCCTAACGTCAAGCCCTGGCTATGGTTATGTCAAGTTTCGATCTTCAATCCACTCAACTGTGGATCAATTAGATCAATTGCTATAAATGTGTAGGTAGGTACAGTAGCTTAGGCAGTTGCTGGAGAATTAAGTTTAGTTTCCCCGGGTTAGTTATGTCAAGGTTTACATACCGATCCCGCTGACAGCTGCGATAGGTACCTAAGCCTGAACATGTATAACATGTACAACCCGTACAACTCATATATGTGCTTGCTCTCTTTAGCTTTCTTCCTATCACTTGACCAAATGGCAGGAACCAGCTGGCCAATCTAGATCTCCCAATGTCTGCTGCCCTTTTCTTCTTAAAAGGTTCTAAAACCCTCCCCAGGGCCCAGGTCTCGTTTCTCTCATCGTAATATTCTCCTATACGGGCAAGACTCCAAGTGGCTTTTAGGCTCTCAGTTCGCTCTTCGAAGATAAACTCCTTCACCTCTGGCTTGCACAAGTGTTCCCCTCTACGATAGATAGGCCTCATCCTACTCGTACCGTCGTACGGTTTAGTCCATATCCACATTCTGCTCTGACATCATGTCCGGCACACTCACGAGGACTGACACAACGAGATCTCCCTCACCCGTCGATATTTGTCCTACTCGCAATGGCGACCTTCTAGCCATTAACGTGACTATTAGGCAAGACCCTCTGTCTGTGACATTAGATGGGCCCGCTATCTTCTTCATTGCCATCTTGCTGATTCTCAGCACTCAATTGCTCCAGCCTTCGACTGTGGCCTTTCTCATCAGTGTGTTTACGCTCGTTGTATTCGTCCACAATGATTACCAGAACTATTTAAAGCTCGGCCCCGGAGGTACGCCAGCGACATTTGCCGGTTACATTCGCATCAACTGGTTTAAACTCTGGGCCTGTCGGGACCCTTTCACCCCTCTCCCAGCAGATCCAGACGTGCAGCCAGCCGCCGGAATCCTCCGCGAGAAACCGCTTCCTTACCGCTGCGGGCTGCGACCTAAAGTCGTCGGAATCGCACCGCAACGGCAGGTCGACCAGTTTGGTTCTCGGGACTGCTACCTTACTCTACGGCGTATCTTGGAATCTCATAGCCGTAATAATCCGGAGGAACTAGGCATCGGCACATCTTGCTTTGAAAAGCACGGCTTGGCCCTATTCTCTCGCTATCCTTTCAACAAGACCTGCCAGGGTGAGATCTGCCACGTGCATAACTCGGACTACTCGATGCACCTAAACCTGCACCCGGACGACGTGAAGGAGGTCATCGAGAAAGGCTGGGGCCAGCGACATCCCTTGACGAGCCAGTGTTTTCTGAAGATGCCCGTCCCGAAACAATTCACCATGGTATACGCTCCGCGATCGATGGATGAGCTGAAAGTTGTGTGCCAGATCATCGAAGCTGCAGGCTGGTGGGTTAGTGCAAAGGAGATGAAGCTGAACGTGATGGGAGAGAAGTAAACTGTTATATGGGCGTTTGCAAACCGGATAGCTGGGCTGAAAGTTTTACGATGCACGAAGTATACGGATAGCCCCTAGGTAGAACTCGTTTGCATAGATTATCCTATGAGGTGGAAACGAGCCGGTAAACCAGAGATTGGTTTCACAATAACGTATTGCTTTAAAGTAGACTTGAGGATTACAATACAAAATAATTTTAGTTCATTAATTATCAGTTAGACAGGGACATTCACGTATGACAGATGCTCAAGAGAAGTCCACTTGTTGGTATATCTAAGGTAGGCATATGTCTTAAGTCGTTGCATCAGCTTAAGTCAGCAAGACCCCCTTGATATCCCTACTTTCGGTACCTATATAGGACAACCTTGGAGATCAGTCACGACCCCATAACTGAACTCTAGCAACCTGTATAAGAAATAGCACTTCCTTGATTATTATAATCTTCCCCATCGTTCTTGCAAACCATCCCCAGAGGAATACGTTTTGGTAACTTTTCAAGTAAACCGTGCAAACTACAAGCGTTGCTAGTCGCTAATACCAGCCCTAAGTAATCGTACATCGTAACTCTTCCCGCGGGGTGCAGCACTCCTCGGCGTATAATACATAACAAGTGAGTGCGGCCTCATAATATTAAGTAAGTAGCAATAACAAGAAACCCATCCACTCATCCACGCATCAATCATCGCTGTCATCGGCATCCGCGTCATCGCCTTGCTTCTTGCCTGACTTGCGATAACGCTCGCGCCCCGTGGCAAGCGTAGCACGGACCGTGCGGCCGTCGAAGGCTCGCCCGTCCATGAGGTTGATGCAGGCCTCGGCGGCTTCCGGCGTCGTGAATTTCACGCTTGCGATGCCTTCTTCCTCGAGGTCGTATAGCACTACGTTGGTCACGGGCCCGAGCTTCGAGCACTCCTCGCGGATATCCTCTTTGATTTCTAACATGGCGGCTGGGTCCTCTTCTAGCTCGCGCAACGTGAACATGTGTCGTAGGATCACCACGCGGTCGCGCCGTGCGCCCGTCTCTAGCTGGCCCCCGTACGGGTCGTCGTCGTCCCAGTCTGCGAGCTTCGCGTCGAGCTTCTGCGTCCGCCTGATGATCTTCTGCTTGTCCTGCTCGCGCGCGCAGTCGGGCGCCTTGCCCGCGCCTAGGATGAGCTTGCTGCGCTCGCTGGTACCTTCGTCCGCGCCGTTTCCGTTGCCATCTTCCTTGGTGCCTTCGTAGTTCATCTTCTTGTAGCTCGAGTCGGCGGCTTGGACGCGCATGCGCCCGCTCGCAAGCCCGGACGAGGTAAACCGGAAATCGGTGTCGTCGAGCAGCATAATGGCCATATCAACGCTCTGGGGCTTGAAGAAAACGATTAGAGCGTCGCCCTTGAAGTTGCCCTTCTCGTCTGTATATAACTTGATTCGCGGGCGACCACTATCGATCTCCTCGGCGATGACGCCGCATTTGCGCGAGAACGCATCGTGCACCTCGTCCACGGTCACATCGAGGGGCAGGCCGGTAACGTAGATAGCCGTGTTCTGGCGCGGCTGCGGTGGCTGCTTTTGCCTCTTCTTGGGACGTTGCTGTTGACCCCGAGGCGCATCTCCACGACCATTCGGCTGGTCTGTCTTACGCTTTTTGTTGGGGATACTAGAGCTATTACTACCGTTGTTCGGTTCGTTGTCGGGGCTCGCGCTGCCTCCGTAAGCTAACTGCTGCTGGGCGAGCAAATCCTCATCGACTACGGGTATCCACCGCTTTAACTGGGAATCCCACTCGAACTCGCTCCCGTCCTCCTGCACCGCGATGTACTTGTTGTCAAGCTTGGAGAAGGAGATTCGGTCGTCCTGTTCGAACTCCTGGGGGTCTGTCGGGAAGGAGAGACCCGGGCCAGGTTGCGGGTCTGCCATCGTCTCGTGGGTTTATGAAATAATTATAGAAAGTAGCATGAGTCAGATAGGTAGGCAAGACAAGGCGTGCAATTTGTTCAGATAGTGTTAATCGCAGTTGAGTGGGTGTTTGAATCGACTTTTAAGCTTCAATTCGCAAGCTTTATGCACTACGCTACGGCACACTACTACAAGGTACTATGTACTATGTACCTGTACGTCAGTGGAACACAGTATTAAATTTACTCCTTCCATGTCTGAGCCGGGACAACCCCTGCATAGGTACCTTATCAGGTTTAGACCAATCGTACCGGAATTGAGTCCTATTAGAACCTCAAGATGGGAGTGAGAATTGCCAATCATTCATTACACTTTATTCATAAGTACCTGTATTATAAAACATAGTTATATCTAAAAACTATCGTTCTTTTAATATCTACTGTAGCTATATTTCTTTCGCGGGCTCGTTAGTTTGGCTTCGATTTCTTCGAAGACGATTCTTAATAAAAGCCAGCCTTTAAGCCCGAGCTTGAGAGTATAATAAGTGTCTAAGCATAGGTACGCAAGACAATATGATATACTTGATTTACCTAACTAGCCCGTAATGTAATATCTATAAGCATCCTACTTCAGAATGTATATCATTTGCATAAGGATATGATGATATATAAGTCTTATATCTAAGAAAGCTCTGTCAGTGAAGTGCCATGACGTATCACTTAAACACATGTATTGCAACAGATATAGGCCGTCAAGAAATCAACGTCACGTTCCTATTCTCAAATCAAAATCACGTTATAATTCTTTTTCGTACCAACTTACATACCACGCAGCCCGCGTAGTCTACCTATGTAAATACAGCGTGCTGTCGCACATTAGCCCTTGTACACCTACACCTGAACGCCGGATGCAATGCAAATATGCCACCGACTAATAGCTACGGTGCAAGACGGTCTAACAAGAGATTCTCTGCTCCTCTTAAAACTTCGGGATACTAGGTAAGCCTTCATTTCTTGCCCTTCTTCTTCTTGCTTGCACCGGGTGAACCCGAGTCGACTAGCACGGCGTCGTCGTCACTACCTTTGACAGAACCTTTGGTCGACGACTCCTCTTCCAGCTCCTTCATGAATTCCTTCTGAATAGTCTCGCGGCGCTTCTCCCACCACTTCTTGTCGGTCTCCGCGCGACTCTCGATCTCCTCGAGTCGCTTGCGGAGCATGGCATTTGCGGCAATCTCGTTTGCGGATTGGAAGATCGTCTGGCCCCAGCCGGGAGAGAGAGCATTTGCCTGGCCGAGTTAGTATAAGTGCGCTTTGAAAAGGTATATACGGCGATCTGTCCTTACCTCTGTTACTACGTCGCGGAGTTCCTCTTCGATTTCCTTCTCAGCTCTTAAGAATCTTTGATTCAGATCCTCGCCAACACTACCCCTCTGCAGCAAGCTGTTAAGCGCCTGCTTAGAGGTTCGGACCTGGATAATGCGACGGATGTCCTCGACGGCTCTTCGTAATAGCGCGGCCCGGACAACACTATCGGGGACCTTCGGCGCCTTTTCTTGGCCGGGTTCGGGCTCCATGTGAAGCAGAGTTAGGTAGATATTTCTTTGTAGGTGCGGCGGGAACCATGGCTCGAGGTTGGCATTTTCAACTACGGACTTGTTAGTTTCGGTGCGGCGTCTTGAGGTTGATGCAGGGAATCATACAAGCCTTTCGTTTTCGATAAACCGTTGAAAAGGTGTACAAGGAACCTCCTAGAACACTAATATATGCGAACGGGAGCGCAAGGCTCATCCAATCTATGTCGAACATTTTGTGTATTCAGTCGTGTTGTGTAGACTGGGAATGTGGAAAAGAGAAGTGAAAGACACCGTTGACAAAATATCGAAATGTAGCCAAAGTAGGCAATTAGGTATGTGCCCTTTTTGGTAGTCGGGATCTTGACACTTTTCACGTACCTAGCTCGAGTCCGTACCACATCTGATACCTGCATGTACCTTTGTATCCGCGCTAATTCATCCACTAATCAATCCACTATCGCACAAGCCACAGTTACTAAATTTGGCGCGAACACTTTGACCGCCTTGCCTAGTTAAATTTTTAGCTTATCTCTATGGGCTAGCTATCAATTTTTCTTCTGGAGCTGATACGGCAGAATTTCTTCCATCTTTAAACTTATCACGACAGGCGCGCGTTCGACAAACATTTGCGCAGCCTCGACCAATCCAGCCTTATACGAACGATGTCGGCTCCAAGGCCAGAGTTTATCAAGTGCACAGGCCATAAATCATTCGCTCAGCGCCTAGTACTTGCGACATTAACAGGCCGGCCCCTACATATATCGAAGATCCGGTCGAATTCCCCCACCAATCCTGGTCTCGCCCCGCATGAGATCTCGTTCCTTCGTCTGCTCGAAGCTGTCACCAATGGAAGCTCTATGCAGATTTCCTACACCGGTACGACGATAACGTATCAGCCTGGTCTGATCACGGGTGCTATACCGGGCTTCGGCGCTACAGACGACGTCCTCGAACATCACTTACCCGCGAATTGCTCACGAGGCGTCACATACTTCCTCCTACCACTATGCCTTCTCGCGCCCTTCTCTAAGTCACATATGAATGTCCGCTTCTCAGGGCCGGGCGTCATCACATCAGCTACCGAGACGGGCGACCTTTCGGTCGACTCCTTCCGTACAGCCATCCTGCCCTTATACAACCTCTTCGGCATCCCCGCAGCACGGATAGAGCTGCGAGTTCTTCAGAGATCATGCGCCGGGCCCCACGGTACTGGTGGCGCGGGTATCGTCGAACTCAGATTTGCAAGCCAGGTTCGGTTACCAAAGACATTACATCTGAACAGAAGCCCCGGCAGGATAAAAAGAATACGAGGAGTCGCATATGCGACAGGTGTGTCAGCGTCAAATAATGCCCGTATGATACATTCTGCGCGTGAAATACTTAACCCTCTCGTATCGGATATACATATCGCGGCGCAATACGACCAGGCACCGTTAGTCCCAGATGCGGCAGAAAAAGCTGGAAGCAAGAAAAGAATGGGTATTGGTTTTGGTCTCAGTTTGGTTGCGGAGTCGAGCGCCGTAGGTGTACTGTACTCGGCAGATGTTGTAGTACCACCCAAGGGAGGAATAGTTCCCGAAGATATTGGAAAGAGATGCGCATACCAACTCCTAGAAACCATAAATCTGGGAGGTTGTGTTACCGGAGCAGCCGCAGGGACAGTCTTGACGCTGATGGCTATGGGATCTGAAGATGTCGGACGTTTACGTCTTGGGAGAGACGTTGTGGGGACAGAACAAATTATAGGACTCGCACGAGATCTTAGAAACTTCGGGGCTAGTAGTTGGGGGCTTCGGGACGCCGAAGACGACGACTCAGGCGACATAATAGTCTCGGTAAAAGGGACTGGCGTCGGTAACGTGGGTAGAAAGATTGCGTAGTAATGATATCCTTCAAATTTGTACAATGTCATTTAACAACTATTTATGGCTGCCTTGGCTGAGCCGCGGCCTGCCTCGCTCTTCTCTGTGCTGCCAAGGCCGCGAGCGTCGCATTATATCCAACATTTTGTATAGCATAAGCAGCTGCGCTTTCAGGAGAGTTTGCCCGTGTATGCCAGGCCGTCCAAAGTGACCGTCGAATATTGAAATTGGCCAGAACGGCATTACCAGATCTCAATGTGTCAGCTAACCCTTCAAGGTCGCCTACAGGAGTGGTGGCTTGTCTCAATAGGCCGACCCCCTCATCCGCATTGCGCTCATTGCCATTAGCATTCCTGCCTCCTAGAGATTGCATTTCGATATCGTTTGCTTCATCTACCATAGGCGCATCTCGTAAAACTCCCCGTTCCTCTGCGTCATGATCTTGCCCAGTAGTAGTCTCCTCCGTGGTAGTTTCGGGGCGGTCTATTCCCCTCCTCGGCCTCACCACTTTGCGCACTCTTTCTTTCTCGATGTTCACAGTCAGCATGAAGCATTGTAGCCCCAAAATCAGGAGGTCCAACAAGAGGAGAGAGAATTTGGAAGAGGGCGCTTTTTGTCCGACAAAATCGAAGAGTATGCCACCGTGGAGGTAGCCTCGGGATGCTTCGCCGGCTTGGGGTAAGGACGTGAGCAGATGCAGTAATATACATAAAAAGTTGGGGCCGACAATAGCAGAGACGTGATAGTTGGGTATGATTAGAATGGAATCTTCAGCCTTGGGGCTTATGAATAGGGCTTGAGAAAGCCATCGTATCATCAGTCGGAAGAACGAACAACTAGAAATGATATGTCAGCGCCTTCATATGATGTACCATGTATAACAGTATAGAGCAGGAAGGTCTCGTCATACTCCATATAGTATAGCGCACACAATTCGGCATATACGACAGTATCTAAGCTGATACTTAAATGCATCATGAATTGCAGCTTCTTTGTAAGGCCGTCCCTTGCGGCCTTGGAGAGCGACGGATTCTGCGTAGTGGTGCCGCCATCGCGACTCTGCTCGGAGGCTGCGGACTGTGGTAAGTCGTCGGCGTTGTCCCCTTGATGATGGTGGGACGTACGATAAGGGTCCGCCGGCGTGGTCGGGGTGGAAGCATTGTTCATAGCTCCACCTCAATCGACGTGAGAAGCCACCGGGTGATATGTCTTTACATGCTGCGAGGTCGTCATAAAGATATGAATCAGTTGCCTATTGCGCGGGCGCTCTGGGTGGAATTAAGGCGACAATTCGGGAAGCGCGTGGTATTTGAGGCGTTGGTTTTCAAAGGTCTGCAAAGCCACAAGGATGGATTCTTAGAAGCTGAGGATGATGTTAGAGCAGCTGAGAACGCCGCATGCAAAGATACAGTACGTAAGATAAAGTGGTTGTACTATGAGTGCCACAAGGATGTACCTGTGGCTGCTGAACATTATCTCGGTTCGCTGACTAAATTGCTTACTTAAATGCATAACCCCTAAACTTACATACCTCCTTCAATGTTGACTAGGAGTTCTTGATATTAAACTGTTAAGAATCGATCAAGCAACTTTATGAGAACTTTGGACAATATTCTTTTTCTAAACGCAGTTTATATATACAACTAGGTATATTATATTATATTCTAGTAATTTGCGTGTCCTATCTATAGGCAAATATTATTCCTTTGCAGCTTTCGCGGCTTCTAAAGCTCCTACAACTGCAAACGATATTATAGGGGTAATAATGTAGGAAAGCTATAATGGTAAGCCTAGGTCATAACTTCACAACACCTCTGGGATATGTAGCGCTTACCGTAAGGAACTTAGCTATCGACATTCGTATTTTCTGGTCCGCTCCACTGATATCAGCTAACGCGAGAACTTTCATCGCAGTAGGACCGATGGGCATCATCATTAAAGCCCACCATAACATAGGATCGTTAGGAAGTATATCAGTGTAAGCTGCTAAAGCCCAGATGAGGGGAATGCTGATGCTATAGCAGAGGTGAGCACGATTGCGTATTAAATACCAGGCCTAACTTACGCTGGCCAGAGTATGAATCTGACGAAGGTCACAGAAAGAACGGTACCTAGAGACAGTGTACCTGCTTCTTCGCCTTCTTTCATTCGCCGCAAGCTTAAGCTCAATTTTACGCCGACGACAATAACTTGGAGAGACACGAATAGTTCCCCGACGTTCTTCAGACTGGAAGTGAGCCACTAAGTATGTATGTTAATATCACATCTAGAAAATTCAATCCTACCACCAATGTCGGTTATATTTAGAAGAGTAGTTTATCAAGAGGGGAACATAAATTAAAAGTGCATTTCGGTCGACTTCCTGTTGGAAGATCTCTATGCAAGAAAAAATTGCATAAAACAGGTAGTTTGGATGAAGAAAACATCTGGCCTTGATGCGGGTTACTTCTCATACGCACCGCATTAAAATATCCGCCTTCATCCATGTCGTTGAAGAAAATTCGGTGTAAAGGCGGCGTGAGCCCTATTATTATACCAATGGTCGCGCCGATGAACGGTGGGTTAGCAAACGTCCCAATAGCCGCAAGTATCTTCTGAACGGGTTTCGGACTGGCTTGAAAATGGCTTCGAAATCGCGAGGTAAGCTTGTTTTTCACCCTACGCTCCCAGGACACGACTTTCCTGGGGAGGAGGGATGTACGCTCATTAGGGTCATCTGAATCATCGCCATTCTCAGAGTCGACGGGTGAATGGCAATCCTGCCCGTTTTCTTGAACTCGTTGACCTTCAGGGTCTGTTGAATTGTCCTGCCTATGTTGATCGCCGGTTATCCATTTTGCGCCTTGGTTAAATGTGATAGCAACAGTAAAGGGAGAGATTCGGTATTATTAAAGGCAATAGCAGGCAATGCCCATTTTGGCAGGCGAAAAAAGGCTACTGCTGCTTTTCCAATGGCAATAGATGAGATAGTAAAAATAACAGCCCAGACTAATAAAGTGTTAGAGACATTTTTGGAGGGTTAATTGAGTGACATACTAATAATAAGAACATAGTTCACTATTGTGTCGAGATGTAACTCGGATCCCAGTTTCGTGATCAACAAGCAAGGTAGCAACACATTAACACAGAGGTGTGATACTTCTTCAGCAGCATCCGTCGTGACTAGACCAAACTGAGCAGCAATAACACCACAACCAATTGTCAATAATACCGACAACGAGGCCTGTATAGCACCAAGGAAGGAAATAAGTAACGGCGAGACCATCTTATAAGTATAAGGACTCGATCGACTTGGAAATTCTACTGGAATATGAAAAAATCATGACATATCTCAATTTAATATACAAATTACCTATATATACGATTTTAATGTAAATATACTGTGTAACTTGGCGGACGACGTCATTACTACCTCTAGGTATAGATCTAACGGCAGACTTGGTACCTGGTGCTTTACTAAAAGAGGACCTAATTACCTCAAATACGTAATTGAGGGAAGTGAGATAAGGTTTCTAATGTACTGTATCCCACTGGATCGGGTCTGCCAAGAGATACCTACTAGGTAGCTCCCCCTCCAAGCCATCTTTACCTACCCTGCCTCCGTTAATCGCAACTCAATTTTTTAGCGGAGCCCTTAGTGCCTCTTTTTTTCTATCCTTATCGGGCTTATCTATACATCGATAGGCGCATGCCCTGAAATTTATCAACTTAAACACGGAATCGGATCTTTTAAGACTTGTTAATTGTTTAGTCTAGATACAACTTGAGTCATAAGGGCGCAAAGGATCCTTTTCCTAGAAGTTCAATTGACTTCAATTGGGAGTAGGGAGCTCCAAACTCTGGTCTCACAAGACCTCACCCCTTCTAAACCTCCCAACTCTCCCAACATTCCAGCTCCTAGCTTGTCATGGCCCTCTCCACCAAGCTTGCAGGTCGAGCACCTGTCCTATTGCGACATGGCCGACGACTGCCCATCGCCCGGAGGCCGCTTACCACGGCGAGTCTCCGGGCTCCCTCACAGCTTCTCGCCTCTACTCGAAAAGCTGGTTTTTCTCAAGAGAGGAATTTCTCTGTTACCGCCCTCTGCTCTGCGGGAAGTGTAGCTACTTCTCAAGAAGCGCCAAATCCGAAAGCCTACTTAGAGAGCGGCGTCATAAAACCGAGAGACGTCGTGGATGTCAAGAAGGTGCTGGTCATCGGTAGTGGTGGTCTAGCTATTGGACAGGCTGGAGAGTTCGACTACTCAGGTTGGTGCTGCAAAACTGCCCTTCAACCTAACGAGCCTGGCTATCAAGGGTGACTCATACTACAACTGAGTATATTGATGCTAATACCCAGGTTTGTATAGGATCTCAAGCGCTTAAGGCTCTTAAGGAGGCCGGTGTAGCATCTGTTCTTATAAACCCTAATATTGCTACTATCCAGACCAACCACGTCCTCGCTGACGAAGTATACTACCTCCCCGTCACTCCCGAGTATGTATCCTACGTTATTGAAAGGGAACGACCTGATGGTATCTTCCTGTCCTTTGGTGGACAGACTGCGCTGAACTTGGGTGTGCAAATGCAGCGCATGGGTATATTAGAGCGATACGGCGTCAAGGTTCTCGGCACTAGCGTTCATACCCTGGAGTTGAGTGAGGACAGAGACTTGTTCGCCAAGGCCCTTAACGAGATTGACATTCCAATTGCCAAGTCAATTGCCGTTGGCACCGTCGACGATGCTATAGATGCTGCTTCCAAGGTCGGATACCCCATTATCGTTCGCGCTGCCTACGCGCTGGGAGGTTTAGGCTCCGGCTTTGCCAATAACGAGGAAGAACTTCGCAATATGGCAGCCCGCTCTTTGACCCTCTCGCCGCAGATCCTCGTCGAGAAGTCGTTGAAGGGCTGGAAGGAAGTCGAATACGAAGTCGTCCGTGATGCGAACAACAACTGTATTACTGTTTGCAACATGGAAAACTTCGACCCCCTAGGAACTCATACGGGTGACTCAATTGTCGTTGCACCTAGTCAAACACTCAGCGACGAGGAATACCACATGCTTCGGTCCGCCGCTATCAAGATCGTCCGCCACCTTGGTGTTGTTGGCGAGTGTAATGTACAATATGCCCTTCAGCCGGATGGTCTCGATTACAGGGTGATTGAGGTCAATGCCCGTCTTTCCCGTTCATCTGCCCTTGCCTCGAAGGCTACTGGTTATCCTCTAGCGTATACCGCGGCGAAGATTGGCCTGGGACACAGCTTGCCTGAGCTACCAAATGCTGTTACCAAAACCACCACTGCCAACTTTGAGCCCTCCCTCGACTATATCGTAACGAAGATCCCTCGTTGGGACTTGTCTAAGTTTCAGCACGTCAAGCGTGATATCGGTAGCGCCATGAAGTCTGTTGGTGAGGTGATGGCTATTGGCCGCACTTTTGAAGAGTCATTCCAAAAAGCTATTCGCCAAGTTGATCCTAAGTTCCTCGGCTTTCAAGGCGACAAGTTTGACGACCTCGACTATGAACTCTCGCACCCGACGGACCGTCGATGGTTGGCTGTTGGCCAAGCCATGCTCCATGAGGGTTACTCGGCCGAAAGGGTCCACGAACTGAGCAAGATTGATAAGTGGTTCTTGTACAAGCTTCAAAACCTTGTCGACTGCACTAAGGAAATGGAAGCTGTTGGTAGCTTAGAGGGTCTGAAACGAGACCTTGTTCTCAAGGCTAAGAAGATGGGTTTCTCTGATAAGCAGATTGCGAACGCCGTTAAGAGCAACGAGGATTCAGTCCGCGCTCTTCGATTAAGTATGGGTATTCGACCTTGGGTTAAGAAGATCGATACCTTGGCCGCCGAATTCCCAGCTGACACCAACTACCTGTATACCACTTACAACGCCAGCTCCCACGACGTAACGTTCGAGGATAAGGGTACTGTAATCCTTGGTAGTGGCGTGTACAGAATCGGTAGCTCAGTTGAATTCGACTGGTGTGCCGTTAGTGCTACCCTTGCTTTGAGGAACATGGGCGAGAAGACTGTCATGATCAACTACAACCCCGAAACTTACTCGACTGACTTTGACACGGCCGACAAGCTGTATTTCGAAGAACTCAGCTACGAGAGGGTTATGGATATCTACGAACTTGAAAATGCCTCTGGTGTTGTTGTTTCTGTCGGTGGTCAGCTTCCGCAGAACATTGCCCTGCGTCTCCAGGAGACCGGCAAGGCGAATGTTCTTGGAACTGACCCTAAGGATATCGACAAGGCCGAGGATCGACAGAAGTTCTCTGAGATTCTGGACAGCATCGGAGTTGATCAGCCTGCTTGGAAGGAATTGACTTCCGTGGCTGAAGCTGAGAAGTTTGCTGAGCAAGTTGGCTACCCTGTCTTGGTCCGCCCTAGCTACGTTCTTTCAGGTGCTGCCATGACTGTTATCCGAAGCCACGAAGATCTGAAGGACAAGCTAGAGGCTGCCAGCAGTGTTTCTCCAGACCACCCTGTGGTTATCACCAAGTTTATTGAGGGTGCGCAAGAGATTGACGTCGACGGTGTTGCCCACCAAGGTAACCTGATCATTCACGCCATTAGCGAGCACGTCGAACATGCGGGTGTTCACTCTGGCGACGCTACACTGGTCCTCCCTCCTGTCAACTTGGACGACAGGACTATGGAACGCCTTAAGGAGATCGCCCAGAAGGTTGCGAAGGCGTGGAGCATCACTGGTCCGTTCAACATGCAAATCATCAAGGCTGATAACCCCGAAGGTGGAGAGCCAGCACTAAAGGTCATCGAGTGCAACCTTCGAGCTTCCCGGTCCTTCCCCTTCGTCAGCAAGGTCCTCGGTACTAACTTCATCGATGTTGCAACTAAGGCTCTCGTTGGCAAGGACGTTCCTGACCCTACCGATCTCATGTCTGTCAAGAGGGATTACCTCGCTACCAAGGTCCCTCAATTCTCCTGGACTCGTCTCGCTGGTGCTGATCCGTTCCTGGGCGTCGAAATGGCTAGCACAGGAGAGATGGCCTGCTTCGGTAAGGACCTTGTCGAGGCCTACTGGACATCTCTCCAGTCCGCCATGAACTTCCGCGTACCCGAGCCTGGCGAGGGCATACTCCTTGGTGGCGAGACCTCGAAGCCTTGGCTCACCCAGGTCGTCGATTACCTCTCCCCTCTCGGTTACAAGTTTTACGCTGCCGGCGAGGACGTCAAGCAGTTCATCGAGTCTACGACTAAGGACAAGGTCACCGTGGAGGTCATTGAGTTCCCCAAGGAGGACAAGCGAGCCCTACGCGAAGTTTTCCAGAAGTACGACATCCGAGGAGTCTTCAACCTAGCCCTAGCTCGGGCCAAGACTACGATGGATGTCGACTACGTGATGCGCCGAAACGCTGTCGACTTTGGCGTCCCGCTGTTCATGGAGCCTCAGGTAAGCCTCCCTCCCTTTATATAGTACTTTTTATTTGATATATACGAATATGCTAACTTGAATCGAATTCCAGACCGCGATGCTCTTCGCCCAATGCATGAACGAGAAGTTACCTCGTAAGGAGGGTATCCCGTCCGAAGTCCGCCGGTGGTCTGAGTTCCTGGGCGGCAAGCCCTTGTAAATATACTAGATACCCGGATCCACAAAAGTTTCCTGTCTATACTAAATCAATTCTAACATCGCAATACTAACGCGATACTTTCTCCCCCGTTCCTAAAAACGAAAAAATTTCATAGGCGTTGAGCTGGGATTCTTGCTCGAGGAGGCGGTCGGGTCGGAGTGAAGGGGGGGGCCTGATGAATGATGGACTGGCTTTGCCGTCTGTTATGTTATTTCTGTTTCCCCCTTCTTCTTTTTTTCGAGTTCCCTGGCAAGAGGAGGGCAAAAGAAATAAAAGGGGAGGATGAATTTTCATCTTTCGTACCGCGCCCCAGGGAGAAGCGCGGGTACGTGGGTATCTATGTAGGTAGGTAGGTAGGTAGGTAGGTAGAACGGTAGATTTACGTCTGCTATAGTATCTACTTGAATGAAATAAAAAAGTTAAAAATAAAATATCTGTCTACCTGTATTATAATGCGTGATGATGATAGAAAAATACAGTCTCCCCGAGAGTCTGGTACTATTCACTAATTCTCGTGCTTTCTAATGATATTATTAAAAGTACCCAAGATAAGTATTATCTCCGTATTTTTTCTTGGTATAGAAGGGAAGCTGATAGATCTGAGTTATCTTACCTGCCGGAACAGGCTCTCTAAGCTAGGTACCTAAGCTAAAACGATATAAGGCAACATACATTAGGTACTACGTGATAAGAATGATTCGTGCACGAAAAATACGCTTCTAATTCACCTTCCTAATCATCGGCGACGGAAGATGTGTATTACGAATAGGGGGTACTACCGCAACCATATCAATGTTTGGGTTGGTTTTCCTCCCCTAGGCACAAAAAAAGCTGCTCTTCTCCTCTATGCTGACGAAAGATAGACGAGGCCCCTTTTTAAGCCTCTATCTGGCCGTTGGTGACGAGAAACACATCCACCTAACTCGCCACTCGTTAGATCTTCGGCTATTTTCTTTCCCTCCTTTCGTCCCGAACGAGCACGAACCTATGCGAAATACGCGCCGACGGGATATCTCTCCTCCTTCAATATGTGCTTTTTCATATATCTTCGAACCGGGAGCGATCGTAGAAGGGTGCGTTTGAATTTCGTTCGTTCAGCCTAACGGCAGCAAAACGCTTAGCAAGCGGTCCACTGGATGATCTACTGGGGCGGGACGAAGACGATGATGAGGCGGAGGATGTTTCGTCGCCGTCCGCTTGGCCCCCCTCGTCACTTGAACGACGAGGGCGCTTGTCTATTCTTTTGGGGAGTTTCTCACCAGTCTCTTGTAGAATGGTTTCCAGAGTCTGCCAGCCCGGCTGGGAGAAGAGTTGGTACGTGTCGGCGAGGTCGTGCGTTGTAGCCGCACGGCAGAGGAGCGCTTCCTCTTCCTGTTTACTTGTTACTCCGACGATTCTAGAAAGAAGGGAAAGCGTTGGAGCTAGTCAATACTTACCTTCGATAGCACGCCTATTCCGTGTATGAAATTGAGAAGGTGGAAATCTGAAAGAGAGGCGAGCTTCTTATCATCCGAGGTACGAATAGCCTTAGCAACTGATGTTATTTGCTGGCTCTCTCCTAAAGCCTCACGGTTCTCGATAGGGAAGATGGAAATGTTGAATAGAGGCTTGGGTTCCGCGGGGAAACCGTGTGTTAGTGTTACAAAGAGATATTCAACAGGGAATGACGGCTTGGCATTCTCTTGTACATTTGCGCCATACTCGTTAATCTTCCGGTAGAATACCTCTGGGATATATCGCGTCCGGCTCGTCGAGCCGTCGTCTTCTTCCTCTTCTCGCACAAGCATGACACTGGGGTCAGCCGACGGCTCAATGAGGTCTGCCCGCACCATCTCCACGGCATCATTTGATACCTGGTATGATGAGATGGCGATCTGACCCGTTTCATTGCCCGAGATGATGCATGTAACGAAGTTAGAGCCGAATCTTCCCGTATCGCTCCATTTGGTAGGCTTGGGATGTTGAGCCTGTAAGCGCCCTGCAAAACAAACCTCTAGAGAGCTGAGATAGTATGAGTCGGCATGCCGCTTGCATATGACCTTTCCGTCACCTGTACCTGCATCGAGTAAGTCTGTAAATATAACCCCAACCTGCTCAAGACCGCATAGCTTGGCGACCTCGTTCACAGCAGTTTCGTTTTCCCAAGCGCTCAATGATACTCCGTCAACCTCGTCTACCTGTGGTACCTCGTAAATAGCCTCGACAACCGCTTTAACGCCGAGGGGCACTTCCGAGTACTCGGCATAGCGGCCATACAGGTAGCCAATCCGTTGTGCACCAGTTTTCCGCCACGCGTCGATAAAAGCATTGACAAGCTCAAACGAGGCAAATTCGACATGATCGACCATGCGGAAAGTTTGCGGCTGAAGCGTAATGGCGCTGGGCTGACACTTTGTGCAGATGCCTTCGGGCCATTGCGGGTGACCTGAGGGACAGTCCCTCTTCACTCTGAAATATGGCTCCTTCAGGGGTGGAATGAAGGAGCTCCCTAACTCGGGTTTGTTGGTTGCCGAGTTGATCTTCCTGAGATATGAATGGAATGATAGGTACTTGATCTTCTTATCGGCGAGGTATTGTGCGTTGAAAGGGTCGAGGGGCATGCAGTAGTCGCACATGCCTTTGGGTCCATGCTTGCACATCCGGTCTCGACCTCGAGGAATCTTCCCATTCTGTTTGTCTAGTCGGTCGTCGAGTGGCGACTGCCTCACCACTTCCCAGGGATTCTTGATAATTTTCGTAGGTGATGTTAGCGGCGGCGGATCGACCGGTAGGTCCTCTGTAGGTAAGATGGGTTTCCCATTTAACCTGTTGGTCGATGATAGAGTGCTAGACGGCGTTGGCACGCCATTCGTGTGGCCGTTGGCGGCGTCCTGGTGTTGGTAGTTGATAAATATCAAATCTCCGTGGCTGCACCTATGTTAATATTGGAATTCGGACAATATCGTAGGGGCAATAGTACCTCAACCCAATTTGCGCCAGCTTGAATTTTGCAATGTCCTTTAGTTTCTTCGAGTCTTTGGCCTGGGGGTCTGGGGACATGCTAATGCTATTCGGGTCAACGGTTGCGGGCAATTGCGCCACGAGCTAAGCTTCGAGTTAGACATGGCAGCTCGAATGTAATAAAGCTAGGGGATATACCTGGCGACCAAGCTCCGCGAAGGAGTCGGTTTTCTCGATGTTGATCCGGATCATGCCATCCGGCCCTCGTAGTCGCAACAACATGATGGTGTTCTCGGAATGGTGCGATTATACTGGGGGTACTGTATTTCGCGACGTATGAGAAATGATGGGGGAAAGAGACCTCTCGCCCATATGCTCCTATGGCCGGGGTTATATGTTATTTCTCGATTTCTCGATTTCTAATCTGAGTGAAGGACGTCTAAGAAGTGAGCTGTGTGATGACAATGTAAAGGTTAGGTGGCGGAGAGTGGAAGTGTGCGGAATATATCAGATTGGGAAAGATGATTAAATTGTACATATTGTACATATGTAAGTAAGTAATCACAGTATCAGGCACTGATGACGCGCGCCTTAGAACTTTATCAGACAAGTTAAAGGTGGGGTTGCTCTTGCAGCTTAAAACTAAGCTTGGCGTGGCCCAAGCTCCAACCTTTACTACATTGTAACTTCGTACTATTTTACTTGTTCGAGCTACATATGTAGTTATTATTTTATTTACGTACTGAAAGTATGAAAGTATGCAATTGTACCTGTAAATTTTCATATTCATTTTCTATAGTCGTATTTGATATATTCCGTTTACTAATATCTCGCTCGTCACTCAAATAGAAACAACGGCTACGTGATTCTATAGTAGCTAGGTTAATGTAACGACTTTTTTTACTGCAAAATTTCCGAGAAATCCGCACAAACCTCCTAAACTGAAAACGCAATCACTATAACATCCCGAGCCCATCAACTCTACCAGCCGACGAACTAATTAGGGGGTACCAAATAACGTAGTAGGAGCCTGACCTTTTCGTTCCCTCTCCCCCCCCAAGAGAGGCCCTTCCTGTTCGAATATCGACTGCTCGAGTAGTACAGCGCATGACCTGATATGAAAAGTATTGCCTAATTTACATACGATGAATACAACCCCGAGCCCAACTACTGTAATGTCGCATGCATCATTTGGCTATATGGCCTACCGTCCGAACAACGGTAGCCATACCTAGCAATGTTGCCTTTCTTATACCCTTAAACGCCCCTGGTTTGCCTCACTCAATTGAGGCACTGAAAAGGAAGTTATCGTTTTCGCATCGAGTTTAGTATCTGTTGTCTCTTCATGCCGCCGCCTCGACTTCTGCTGCTGCTGCTTCATTGATAGATTCATCGACATTCTATAGGTAATTAGTATTGTCTTTCATAAGATGAGGGAACAAAATGACGTCGATGTTAAACATACCTTTTCCGAATCTGCCTTCTCCTCACCCACCGATTCAGCCTTGCTATCTGCCTCATCTTTCGTGTCCTTTTCCGGGGCATCAACCTTGGCATCTTCTTTTTCAGAGCTCGCTTTCTGGTCAGAGGTCTCCTTCACACCATTAGCGGCCCCCTTTCCACCCTTCGCGGCATTGCTGGAAGCACCATTAACGCCGTTAGCTGGAGCTGGAGCTGGAGCTGCTTCGTCGGTAGCTAAGAGTTTGTTCCACTTGTTCAGGAGCGTCTGTGATCGCGGCTTGAACTCAAATTCTTCCTCCTTCGGAATTGTCTCCAATTTTAGGATAGCCTTGAGGACCTTGTTAATCTTGGTCGCCCGGATGATGCTGACTTCGAGATCAGGGAAGGTTTCGAGTTTAGCAAGAAACTCTGACATCGATCTCATTTCCTCTTCCTTCGGCTCCTGGTCCCGAATGAGTAGGCCCTTTTGCAATCGATGCCGTAAAAACAATATCTCCTTCTACAAATTTGTGAGCATAAACTAACACGATAACGATGGGTCGTAATGACTTACCTCTTTGCGTACGTGTCTTTCTTCGGGGCTAAGCTCCGGCTCCTTAGGTGCAGAAGCTTCCTTCTCTTTCTTGCTATCAGACTTCTCTTTACTGCCTTTGGCTGACTTCGCCTTGACCTTAACGGCTTTGGAAGAGTCTTTCGTAGATGGCGATTGGACGCCGTTAGCGGCCTTCGGAGTTGATGAGTTAGTCAACTTAATCTTCGGCTTCTTGACGGATTCGGAGCGTTGAGGAGTCTGTATTAGAATTAGCATGAGGCTCGAACTGGTGGCAAGTATTCCCTTACGTTGGTCTCATCTTCGGCTTTGCGCTTCTTGGATTTGGGTTTCTTCTCAACAGGCTCCGCATCATCACCCTCATCCGCATCAGGCATTTCGATGTCTTCGTCTTCATCTACTGCTGCAGCTTCAGCGGCTTTGGCACCCTTCTTTGGTGTTTTAACAGACTTGGCCTTCTTGGCTTCCAACTTCGCTAATCGCTGCTCCTCAAATTCACGGAGCACGTTCTTGTAGTATTCTAGGGAGTTCTGCTCCGCAGCCAATAGGTGGGCGTTTTGTAAATCTTTGCGCATCTTGGTCGTGATCATATCCCCGACTGTAGTTGGGTCCAGTTCACTCAGGTCGGAATTGTTTGTCCAGGAACTAGAGATAGTCAGCTTCTAATCACTATATCTAAGGTTAAATAGTTACCATACAATTCATTAGTGTGCAGATACATGACTGGGAACGTCCGGTCTGCAACCCTCTTACCACCATCGGCAAAATCTTCGCGGTAGGTTCCATCGGGACGGGCGGCCGTGACGGGTCTCGTGCTCAGCATGCTCTGTGGTAGCATATCCTCCTCAGCTATGATGACAGGCCACGGAGGGAAGCCCTTCAGCTTGGCGAAATACTGTTCACCTGGCTTCGCATCGACGTGTAGAATTTTGGCTCTGGATGCCTTTTTATTTAACTTCTTGCCCTTGGCGTCGCCAGCAGATTTGCGACGCGCCTTAGACTTGTCCCCGGGCGTTGACTCTGTATCGACCGCAGCACCTTCAGCAGTACCAGCAGCCACATCCTGCTCCACGTGAGAGGAATCTTCAGCAGCCTTGTCCGAATCAACTTTCGCGTCAGCAGTAGGCTGCTCGGTCTTGTCGGCCGGCTTGTCAGGCATCTCGACGTCAGTGTCAGCGGATTTCTCGTCGGCCGGGGCAGAAGCTGGAGCTGTTTCAGAGTCTACGGATACGGCTTCTAAGAATAAGATGTCAGTAGTTGAGCAAGTCAAGATATGAGTAGTAAATAGTTGTGATTGTAATGGAAAGATGTAAACAAGTGCGGTGGTGACGGCGCTGGACATGTGGTAAAGCATGACGTGTTTACAAGGGGGTAACTGGTGTTGCAGTGATCGGGAAGTTTCGGTGGCAATGTTTGCGGGACGCGACTTACCCTTGGCTTCGCTTGGCTTTTCCGTTGAGACGTCCTCCTTGGCCTGGGCGTCATCGTCAGTAGGCGCGGTTTCTTTATCAATTGGCTTCGCGTCGGTGACAGGCGCGACAGAGTCGGATGTAGTGTCCCCTGGTGCAGTAGAAGCGGCGTCGGGGGCCTGCGCGGTAGCAGTTTGCGCGGTTGTCTCGTCAGACATATTGATAATCCACGCGGAAAGTACAGTGATAGGATGGACAATGGGGCGCGATGCGGATATGGTGAAGGTAGGATGACCAGCTGCCGATTAAAAAGGTAAAAGGTAAAAAATAAAAAAAGATTAAGAAGTTGGGGGAGAAAGGTTGGTTGGTTGGTTGCTGCGAAAGTTGTTGGTCAAGAATTGGACACAGCAGAGCAGAGCAGAGCAGAGCAGAAGGCAGAAAAACGCGTCTAGTCAACTTTCTTTAAATTGGGGAAGTCTTAAGAAAGCGACGGGGCTAACAACTAGCAGCGGCTGTCGATGAACCGTTGCAATTGAAAGGCGCGATCGGGATGGAGTTGTGTTGGTGGAAAATCGACAGGAGGAGAAGAAGAAAAAAGATGGAGGCAGAAAAGTTGATGAATGAATAAGATAGTCGAGAGAAATTTCCCAGGATCGAGATGGGAAGCCTGTGCTCATTCGAGTAGAATGTACGCCGAGTAGCTTTTCTTAATAAAAAGCACGTGACTTGGATGAAGATGGCGTCTCGTGTTGCGTACTATGATAAATGTTCGCGAGGGTAGTAGTGTAGTAGTGAAGATAATAGTAGTGTCAGTGTGTTGTATGTACTGTATGATGTACTGCCTACCTAGGTACCTAATGTAGAGTAAGTCTAAGTCTAATGTTAAATGTAGACAAGGAAGGCAAGAGAATGGGCAAAGGTAGGTTATTTCCTTTCCTAGCCTGGCCTGTACGCGGGACGTGGGTCCTCCTTTTTTTTTTCTTACCTGCCTACTTGTTTACATTACATGCCCGCTTGCCTTAGTGGTCCAGATAGGTAGATTAGGTAGATTAGGTAGATACGGGTGAGAAGTACCTAGGTAAGGGGCACGTAGGTAACGCCAACCCACCCCCCCGAGAAACACGCCCCCATACGTACACCAGTATTATACCTAGCTACCTATGTAGGTACATATAGAGGTGTAGCTAAGGTAGCCATCGAACCGGCATCGACCTTCATCAACATAGCCCCCCCCTCCCCCCCCCTTCTCGTCTCGATTTCCTACATCTATAACACTTTCTCCCCTCCGCCTTCTTTTCCATCTGCTTCCATTCTCCATACTCGGTGAGCTGAGCCGCGACGACGCCCTCTACGACATCAGCCCCCCAGATCGCCCGATAGCCTGCCTACCAACCAACCTAACACCACACCAACATCCACATAACACATGCTTCAAGTAAGAAAGTGAAAGTGCCTCGTTTCAGACACCTCAGAACAAGTAGTAAAAGTTTTGATATATATCCCTATTTCCAAGATAATTCACCAGGGAACCCTTTAATCGCCTTTGAATGGTTTTCTATATGTACAGTAAGCTTTTCGTACAGCAGATGGATCTGATCTCACGCATGGTAAGTTCCACAGGGACATCACGAGGTTTCTATTCATCATCTTCCTCCTCCTCATCCGAATCCACATCCATGCCCTCCGCGACCGTGACGGAAAACGTTGGCTCCTGATCCACACCGACGTAGCTGTCACTCATTAAGAATAGCTTCAGATCATGCTTGCCCGGTGTCGGGACTGTGTACTCCAACTTAGTCTTGAGTTGTCGGCCAATCGTGACTCGCCTGATAGCCAGCAGCATCTTTGTGCTCTCCTCTCCAACGACCAGCCACCAGTTCTCCACCTTCTTGGTGGGGTAGAATGGAGCGTGGACTGTCGTGTCAACCTCTCCGTCCTCTTCAACCTCGCGGTCGATCTGGACGTTCATGTACGCCGGCTCTCCAGCACGAATGCTATCCTCATCTATGAGCTCGAACTCAAGTGAGATATCAGGGTATTTATTGTTTGTGAAAGCCGCCGCCTGGCCTAACTGGGCCTGCGACAAACCCAGGCGTTTGATAAGAGTACCATAATTGGCATTCTCTTCGGGGTTCATTGCTTCCATGAAATCGAAAATGTCATTAATTCTAGAGCATAACACGTCAGCATCTTCACCGCTAAAATTCTTATTCGGTACATACCCAAACTCGTTCGCCACCTTTACTACCTCGGGCGTAAAATGAGGAATTTGTTTCAAAGGACTGTCACGGTCCCACATGGCTTGGACCACCATCTGCGACATTTCCATGGCATTCATGGCATTTAGATGCCCGTCCGACGACAGAACGTCAACTGTCGCGCTGAGGAGACTTAATACCTTCGATATAATTACTTCTTGGTCCTTAGCTAGATCGATAGGAAGTTGCATTCGGGAAAAGTGTGCTTGTAGTAACACGAACGCCTTGAAATGCGGCGAGTCATATGCTGGTTCGGACATTTTGACTGGGACCCTGTCGTAGATTCGTCGAAGCAGGTTGTCTTCATGCCGACGGATCTGGATCGACTCAAATTCTGTAGCCGACGTTACGATTTCTAGTATACCCTTGAGCTTCGTTCTCGCAGTCAATGAAAGCAGGAACGTCTGCATTGTGATGTATGAGATGTTATAGTATGCCGCAATCATAGCCGCATTCTGAGGGGCGACCGAGCCGTCATCTTCATCGAAGTCGATGATCTTAGACTCGGTGAGCTCCTTTAGCGTAGTCTCAACTAAGTCAGAAAGGTAGCTGCTCAGGCCATCATGCGTCGGACTCGTTAAACTGTAGTAACTCGGGTTCGCTAGAAGTCGACGGTAGAAATACGTAAACGTCGTCCAGTTGATAGCGTCATCTGCTGACTCGATCATCTTCGTGCTGACCTCGGTAACGAAAGCGTCGTGCATAAAATTGTGAAGGTGCGACTCAACTGGAAGGGCTTCGTTTAGGAACTTCTTGAAGTATTCTCTCTTGACAGCCGGAACCATGAGGACGCCCCTACTACGACCGTCTCGAGATGGTCGTAAAGCTTTTCCGAACATCTGCAGCACTTCGCTCAACTGGTAATCGACGTAACGGTGCTCCCGGCCCTCGAAATACTGAGTACCCATTACCACTACCAGGTGTGCAGTGCAGTCCAGCTCCCAGCACACGTCACGAGATGCGACTAAGACCTGGATTGCACCTTGTTTGTATAGGTGGAGAACAATACGCTTATCACTCTGGCTGAGAGCTTCATGGTAGTATCCAACACCGTGCGATAGAGCTTCGGCCAAAGCCTCCTCGTGAATACGCTCCAAGAGCGGGCGAAGCTGATCAATGTCCACATGCAAAAACCTGTCTTCGTCATCTTCCGCTAGGCAGGCTGCAAGAATGTCACGAGCACTTGACCTCGTTTGCTTCCTGCTCGGCACAAAAACCAGAGCCGGTTGATCGGATGACAACTCAGTGATCGCAAGGTATGCTGGTTTGGCCATAGCAAGCATAAGTGATGGGAAATGAGGAATGGAGAAAGATTGGATGCGTAGCTCGAGGGGTACGGGGCGGACATGAGGACTGAAATTGTATACATCCTTCTTCTTAGCGTCAATCCATTCGCCAATGTCCCGAGAATTCGCAAGTGAAACGCTCAACCCAACGATCCTCATTGCTAGTTGAGCAGTGGTACGAATATAGTGCATGCGAGATACTATGATCTCGTAAATATACCCTAGCGGACCGCCGAGCAGATGAAGCTCATCGGCAATGAATAGTTCAACCGTAAGAATATTCTTGCGTCTCTGCCACTGCCTAGAGAGAACATCCCACTGCGTTGGCGTAGCTAGGATGAGATCTCCCTTCTCGAGCAACTTTAGATCTGTCGCCGTTTCTCCAGTAAGTTTAACGATCTCCTTACCGCCACGTAGATGACTAAGTCGCTTGCTCCAGTCCTGATATCTAATGTCGACGATTTCTTGAAACGGCGCGATGTATACAGCGCGGCCAATCTCTGGTTTCGACCATAGGCGCAAAAGGGCGAACTCGGCGCAGACAGTTTTCCCACTACCGGTTGGGGCACCGATCAAGACGTTGTCATCCGTCGTATAAAGGGAATTAAAAGTCTGCGTCTGGATTTTGTTAAAGTAGTTCCAAGACTCGTACAAGTTGGAAAAGTCCTTCGCCTTCAACGCAGCGACTGGGAGAGGCTGCAGGTCTAGAAGTTGGGTATGGGGCGGGAATTTCTCAGGCAAAATAAGCTTTTGAAAGGAGACAGCCAACTTCGTCTCCGATTGCAACCATCTATCAGAAATGACAGAAATGAAGTAATTAGGTGGCATAGGATCGGTGATGGGGACTGTAAAGTCGACTAAGTGCTCGTTCGATTCCGACATAGCATAGTCCTTGCGCAAGAGGAATTGGTCATAGAATAAAATATCTTCGCCATCACAATCTTCGACGATGATCCAGAAGAGCTCTGCCGACCCATGTACTTCGTCATCCCATTGGAAGTTGGGTGTAATAGACAGTTCAACTCGAAGCATGGAACGGGTCATCGGCTGAGCCTGCGCTTGGATCTCAACCCGCGGGAATTTAGATACTAGATCACAGACAATACGCCCTGCTTTCGGCATTCCAAGCAGCTCCCCCATCCGGGGAGGGTCGAGGTCGAAATAGCTGCTCCACGGGATATCTAATCTGTCAGCTTTGGCTATGATATCACGAGAACACCGAGGGAATTGCCGTAGAGGCGTCATGGTTAGCCACATCCTCTTCTCTGCCATTTTACACAAATCCAGGGCTGTTTTTGCAACGTTGGACCAGCCTTTTTGAAGAGTAATTTCAAAAATAGCGCGAAGGATACGACCAGCAGATTGCGTAACGTAGACCATATCGGCCATGAGAGCTAGACCTTCAAGCTTGAGACGGCTGATATACGCCTGTAACAAGACATTAATCTTGCAGTGTGGCTCCTCGATGCTTTCCTTCACGGGAATTGGTACCCGAGCTAAAATCTTCGCCAGTTCTAACTTCTCATCTTGGCGGACAGGTATATACTTAAACTCAGCACTGAGAGCAAATACTCGGAAAAGCTCAATTGTTGTGATCGAAGGCTGAATTAGCTTGTTGTAGGTATCCATCGACCCGTAGGTAATGTAGTAGTGGGATGCTATTCTTCCAAGCTCAGTTGCCTTAACCTTCCCAGTCTTCTCATCATAGGTGATTAGATTAGACTTCTTTAGCACAGTGGCTGCTGAGTGTATAAGATCAACTCGCTTTTGTTCTAAGGCCTCGTCATCCTCGTAGTCGGCTCCGACGCTGTAAAGGCCAGGCGATCTTAGCATTCGAACGAAGAGATAGGTGTACCCCAACCATTCTACTCCTTCATCACGACTTCGGACATTGCCCAAGACGATTTCTGCATTGAGGTTATCGACAAGCTTACTAGCCAACTGACTCTCGATTGGTAGCTGTTGGTTGAGTAACGACAGATAGTACTGCATTTCACCTTGGGACGTAATTATAATGCCCTCACCGTATGTATCATACTGGGGTCGCCCAGCACGACCCAACATCTGTAGGACGTCCTGCGGGCTTAACTCCACCCAACTACCTTTCTCCGGGGAATAGACCTGCGTGCCCTTGATGATGACGGTATGTGCTGGCAGGTTGACACCCCAAGCAAGAGTAGCCGTACAAACAAGGACCTGAATTAGACCGGCAGAGAAAAGACCCTCGACTTCGGATCGGTCGATACGACTCATACCGGCATGGTGAATACCGAATCCATAGGGGATAAGGTCCTTCAAGTCGGCATCCGAGATATCGTTAACAATCTCACTCAGAGCTTCCCTCGAGCCTGAATCATGCTTCAGGATTTGATTGATGGTCTCCATCTCGAGAGCTTTATCCCGAATATACTTGGCGGTCTTCGCAGTTTCCTTTCGAGAGTGGACAAAAATGAGCATCTGGTTTCGGTGAGTACCCACGTGCTCGATGACTTTATTATATGTAATATCGTTCATCGTCTTGAGCTGTTTAATGGCCTTTTTCTCAGTAACCCCGATAAACTCCTGTCTCAAAGGACACGGTCTGTAGGAGCCATCGAAGTGGAAAAGTCCCTTAACAGGGTCTACACGAAGGAAGCTAGCCACATCTCTGTAGTTAGGTAAAGTAGCAGACAAGCCGATGAGCCTAACAGGGTCCCCAGTTTGCTCTGTCTTTCTGATGGTCCTGCTGACGATGCTCTCGATAACGGGTCCACGATCGTCGTGTAGAAGGTGAATCTCGTCGATAATAATCAGTCGCACGAGATTGGTGTATGTTAGATCTGTGGCCTTTCGTGTGATGACATCCCACTTCTCGGGGGTTGTAACAATTATCTGCGTCTCGGAGATTTGCTGCTTGGTTAGCTGGCGATCACCAGTCAACTCGGCTACCGTAATGCCATATGGTTTGAGGCGTGCGCCAAAGTTTCCAACGACCTCCTGGACTAGAGCCTTTAAAGGCGCAATGTATACAATCTTAAAGGCATCCAAGTCAATATCTCCCGTCCGCGGATCCCTGTGCTTCCCAAGCTCCCGTAGAATAGTTAGCATAGCTACGTTCGTTTTACCACTGCCAGTCGGTGCGCAGATAAGCATATTCCCATCGTCTTCGAACGCGGTCGGGTAGCACATGGTCTGAATTTTATTCAGGGATTTAGCTGAACTGAAAGGCACACGTGTCCATTCGGGTATATCGGTGATGGGGATATTGGTTTCATCTGCCTGGTTCCGTTTCTTAGGTGGGGGGACGTGGATCTCCTCATAGCCTTTGAAGGTTCGCTTGGTCGAGCCTTCGGGGAGTCTAACTTTGGGATTTGTCATAAGATGGTTGCCTTGGTCGAATATGAGATTTTCGAGATTGATAAACTTCCGTGGTTGAAGTCCACCGACCAGTTGACCTTCCGCTCGCTCAGCCTTTGGCGCTGTGCTAAACGATGTTGGCACATCAATGTCCATCTTAATCTCCATCTTCTTCGCAACATCACCAGGCTTTTTGCCTCGAAGCTCATCCAGGATCCATCTGACGCCTTCGGAAGCCATCTCCCGCTCGATAACACCTCTTTCCTCATCACCCTCTGCCTTGGCTAAACGCGTGAGCCATACAATCTTTTCTCGGTTCTCGATAAACTTCTGAACAACCTCATGATGTTCGTAGTCGAGAAGCTCCATCAACTCGTTTTCGATCTCTCTCAGCTGCTTCTCGTCCCCGCCGGGCTCGTCAGGCTCTCCGGAAAGGATATGTAAAGCTTGAGCGGTCTTCTCGTGGCGAATGTGATCATCGGTGTAAATATTTCCAATCTCCCTTTGTAACCAGTAGGCGTCAATCTGGCGCGCAGGGATGTAGTTTTTCTCCTTAGAAGACCCTCCGCGTTTAGTATCAGGCAGACCAGAATCAATTACCATTTCCTCACCATCGGCCAAGCCCGCCTCTTCATGATCTCGGTCTTCTCCGGCGCCTCCAGCCGGCGCCTGTTCCTCTAGACCAGCCAAGTCCTGCTCATCTTTATCGAAGACTGCTTCATCATCTGAAGAGTCGTCTCTGATTTCGTTGACCAAGGCTGCTTCTTCGTCCTCCTCTTCATCATCGAAGACAACGGCGACACCCTGACGTTCGTCAAGTTCTTCATCACCTTCGGCAGCACCTGTTCCTGTATCCATATCTTCGTCGTCATTTTGGGTATCATAATCTGTAATTTTCTTTCCGAGGTTGACCAACTCGTTGAACTGCTTAGGATTTAAAGTCGCACCTAATAGGTCGTCGATTTCCTTCTTCTTGTCGAAGTCCTTCATATCCTCATCTTTAAGATATTCTAAGACAGCGTCTGCTGCACTCAAAACAATCTCATGGGATACATCACCCAAATTACTCCTTACAACATTTAATATGAGGTCATAGGTGGCACGGGTGGCCGGTATACGCGGTCGGTATCTGAGGCCTTCGACTAGCAGATCTGTCTGCCCGAGGATACCAGTTCCTCTCATCTGCGACGGGTCACCTTTACCCTTTCTTTGTTCGCGGGCTAGGATATCTTTGCCTTCTTGCACGTCCCCCCTTTCGATATCTTGCAAGCCTGTGGCCTTCTTCTGTTTGGGTGCAGCGTCGCGCGCGACTCTGGAGCCCATGTCGTTGATTCTCAGACGACCTGCAAGAGACTCGGGGTCGCCAGTAGCCTCGTCGGTTCGTCGCGTAACAAACCGTCTGTCCGCCTGGAGAACCAGATTGGACATAGCCGAGTACTTGTACTGCGACACATCTCGATGGTGGTCCGCCATCTTGGGGGTAGTTCGTGTTGAAGAGCTTGCTTGTTGACGGCAATACTATAGGGTGGCAGGAAGACGAGTATCGGCAGGTCCAATTTCATCAAATGGACAAGGGCGCCGCGCGTGTCTGCAGATGTAGCATTTAGAATATGCTATGCAGAATAAATGGGCTTTTTATTGAGTCCTAGAATCCCGTTATATTAAGTTTCGATGCTCCTTGGCTAGCTCAAGTAAGAGAAATGTTGCCAATTCGCCTTGGATGGGAAATTTATGAAGCTAGATCTTTTCGCGTTCTTCGATAACTTTAGCTTGAAGGTACCTAGTGTATGACCGTACCATGCATACCGTATCGTACCGTCTTTTAAGCAAGAGCGGGGCGTAGATTAAGAGATGAACCAATGAACATGTCTAATGGTTGCTGTTACGGCAGTCAAATTAGACTACAAACGTACACTGTATTGTATCCGTACAAGTACCTTAGTTGGGTAGGTACATGACAACATGTAGCTTCGTCTTGTTAAAGAAATAAACAAATTCGTAAACAAATTCGTAAACAAAACTGCACATTTGTATAAAAGAGGTATAGATGCATCTAGCTATTTGTGCTCGATAATATCTAAGATCCACCTGACATTTACTAACTATTATGTATTGTACATGCTAGATATCAGTTCTATAAACGGGTCAGTCTTGTAAATCAACCCCGTCCGGCGTCAATTCCCAACACAACTCAGTCTTAGTCTTCATGAACACAATGGATAAGAAACTGTGTGAGCAGACTCGCGAAGCTCTTAATCACCGGATACGTCCTCGCGATGAGGTTACTGCTGTGAGACGGCACCTAGCTCATGGTTTAGCTCAGAGTTTAGGGACCGAGCAGCTCAGCAGTCCCTTGTCTCTGGTTGACTTAGAAACTACCGTCACACCATCCGAGGCATTACAGGGCACTTATCGAGAGTATGTCGAGGCAGCTCGCAGAAATATTGAAATACGATCTAGCTTTACGGCGCTACAAGAGGAGCATGATGCCGCGAATGCTGCTCTCCCTCCTCCACCTGAGGAAGATCAACAGGCACAGCTCCTCCAACTCCAAATCGAAGTCAATGCTTTAGAGCAGGAACATGAGAGACTAAGCATAGTCGACAAGTATCTTGAAGAACTCAATCAGCAACCCGCAGCAGCTCCAGACTTCTTAGATCCAGATGTCATGGTTAAAAGCTGCACCCCTCTCCCCGAATTACCCAAGGAACTTATGGAGGGTTTCACTCAAGACCGGGACGCCCCAAACCGCGAGATCAAGGCTCTACTCGCGCGGCTCCAGTCGGCGGTCCTACGCAATAAACTATTAGCACAACGAGAAAAACAAAACTTCGAAAAACTAAAAGCTAAGAACCCAATCGACCCCGGACGTCTTCCGCCGGAAGTACAATTACAGGCACTCAACGCCGTGAAGGATAGTCTCATCAACTGGATCGAGACCATGCTAAGCAAAGCCGGCGGTGAAGAGGACGAACCAAGTTCCGAGTCGCCAAGCAAGCCGCGGCATAAAGATGAAAAATTCGACCACGAGGCGCATATGGCTGAGATCCAGAGAGAATACCAACAGCACGTCGACCTCCGCAAGGAAATCATGGCTTCTATGGTTCAATTAGAGCAGCTGAATCTTCAGCGGCCACAGAAGCAAAAGCAGCCGCAACAGTTCCTACCCGAGGAACCTATACCCAGCAACACTATTAGCGCAGCCTCCGAGGCATTCCTACTAACACCATACCTCGAGAAATTACAAGCCATCTCACGCGAGCAAAAGGGCCTCATCCAAGAAAAATCACACATCAACGCCTCCCTCACCAAACAACAACAAGACCTCAACAAAATCCTAGACCACCTGGTCGAGGAAAGCCACTTACTACCCAAGTACCCATTCAAACGGTCCGAGAAGCCGCGGCAAAGCTTCGGCTCCGTCACGAAGGGTGTCAGCAAGGCCAACGTGACAGACCAGATCGAGCCCTGGATTTCCGCAGCACACTCAGCACAGATCGCCACTCTCGAGGCCGTCTTCGAGAAAGTCGAGGAGGGCCAAGTAGCGGCTGAAGACGCCATGCAGGCTTTGGACGAAGTCCGCAAACTGCTTAATAAGGAAGAGGCAGCGCCGGAACAGTCTCGTGGAGATGAGGATGGTGGTGCTGGGAGTGATATGTGGATAGGAGAGGACGAGGGGAGCAGCGCAACGCGTGTTAGGAAGAATAGGGAGAAGAAGGCAGAGAAGCCGAAGGGACAGAGCATTTACGCGAAACTGGATGGGAATCTTGGGCTGATAAATGAGTAAAGGGCATGGTCATTTCACCACAGCTAAGATCTATCCGGGCATCACCTTGTAAATATAGTCAAAGCCTTATTACTGAGGATCTTCATAGTAAATACATCCATGTTTTGTACACCCAACGCCGCATGATATGACATTCACCACGTGCTGTATTATATTCCCGTCAAGCAGGATTATTCGGACATTATCATTCTTAAAAAGCTTGCGTTTGGCTCTTTCCAGCTAGTATGTTCGATATTCTCAGAGCCAAGTCTAGAATAGACAAATGCTCATCAGCGCCATCCACTAATCGCTTATCCACCTCTGAGAAGACAAGGGTTATCTTGTTCTTCGCTATATCAGGGACCATCTCGTCTTGGATGACAGCTTGGTATAACTGTAGACTCCCGTTAGTAGGCCGACAATACTAGGAAAGGAGAGGGGATATTACCTGAGAGAGGACCTGTCCAGCGCTCCATCCATCCGCAACCATATCTTCCACGACTTTCGCGATGGCCTGATAGGTCGCACCAGCAGATTTAGGTTGCATCGCCTTTTGTAATGTAGAGATAGTCTGGTCTGGTATCACACCAGCAATCTCTTCTACAATCTTCGCAGTGACAATCCTAACGTCGTCATCCACGTCCATCTTATCTCCTTCGTCATCCCCCTTCTCAATAGCACCGACCAGCCTCGCCGCGCTCTGTAAGAATGTAATCGCCTTTCTCAGATCACCCTCGCTGCACTTAATAAGCGCATCAACAGCGCCATCTTCCATTGTGACACCCTCCTTACTAGCGATCTCCTCCAGGCGCTTCTTCGCATTGCCCTGATCCAAGCTCTTGAACCTGAACTTGCTGCATCGACTCGCCAGGGGATCGATAATTCTAGTGACGTAGTTGCAGATTAGGCAGAATCGCGTGATCTTGCTATATGTTTCCATTGTTCGTCTGAGGGCGCTCTGGGCATCTTGGGTCATACTATCCGCCTCGTCGAGAATAATGATCTTGAAGGGTGGACAGGGGTAACGGTTCTTGTATCCAGCAGGCGGGTTCGTCAATTGCATACGTGCAAAGTCTTTCACCTTCTCTCGTACGATAGAGATTCCTCGTTCGTCGGAAGCGTTGAGTTCGAGGATACGCGACTTTATCATCTCGGGTCCGTACAGCTCTTTTGCGAGAGCGAGGATCGTGGAGGTCTTACCCGTTCCGGGGGGGCCATAGAAGAGCATGTGAGGGAGCTAGAAGTTTATTAATGTTAAAAACATGGGCTATTTCACCTAGTTTCATATAAGTATAGGTCATGGGCTTACATTAGAGGCTTGAAGCGTCCGCTGGAGGATGTTCACCGTATGATCCTGAGCTGTGACATCGCTTAAGGTTTTCGGACGACTTATTAAAGACGAGTTAGCTCCTCTATTATTGTATTATTTCAATAACTCGACCTATAAAGGGACATACTATTTTTCCACCCATGGTTGCTTTCTGGTGCTTTGCTTAGACTCTTCTACTTTGGACGTTGTTGCGCCGTTAGCCGCGGCTGCTTTGCGCGCCTTTAGATCGAAGAAGCTGGCCATATCGTAGTTCAATCAACAGTCAAAAGACTATATAGTCTAATATGGGTATCTCGTCGAATGCGATAGGGACTGGCTTCTTAACTGCCATAAATAGTTGCACAGAGCTATATTAATTAAGAGTACTCTTAATTAAACCTAGTCCAAGGCGTCCAACATAAAAAGGCCCCACCGACGCGTGAGGAACGCGCTTTCGATTTGCTCGACGTCAATTAAAAGACGGGATAGGAAAGCGGTGTAGCCCGGGTACCTAGGTACATGCAGGAGTATTCACTCTATGTATGTACGTACAGGTGCTGCGATAACGATACGGATTATCGACACCATTGAATTCATTAAGCAAAACTCTAAATACCTAGGTACCTAACTATAGCATTCATTTTCAATCCCATACATAAACTATAAAGCCCTTATCATCATTGTGCTTATACGTGCTACCTACGCTCTCTTGAAATGCAAAATCAAAAAACAGTTCAATATGTACCCCTTCGCATCAATTTATGCGGCTTGCACCAACTGCTTCATTCTCTTTTCAATGATATCGCGCCCCTCGATCGTCTCCCACACTCGATGCGGCGCCTTATTAACGATATCCCAGTGCTTCAACTTGTGCGTGACATGGCTGAGATCCCTCTGCTTATGTTCCCATCCACTATCTCTGCGGATCATGTCACCAGAGCTAATCAAACTCAACGGGACGTCCGGGTTTTGAATTGCCGAGCTGCTAGCCAGATCACGTTTCGACAACGTATCGGCTACCAGGTTTTCTTGCAACTTCGCAAACACATACTTCCCCGTCTGGTATGCGGATTGCCCCCATACGCGGTCTTCCTTGGTTCGGCCTTTGAAAAGGGCTCCCGGAATGCGATCAAGACCAAGGGGCGAGATTACGCCCCGTATCCAGAGTAAGAATCCTCGGCTAGGTGAACCTACGCCGTCAAGATCGTCTTCGTGGAGCGGATCGATGAAAAGCAGTCCTTTGATGTCGCCACCATGTCGAGCAGAGAAGATGCGTGAATATACGGAACCAATACCAGCACTCGCGAGGACTACCAAACGTGTTAGTGACGGTCATTGAACAGAGACTCGAACAAGGACTTACCCCAAGGACCATCTTCTCCCGCTCTAGCCAGAGCTTCGCTAACTGCGTCGACTGCCATTCCAGCAGATAGAGGCGAAGGTGCGGTATCACTCTATTGCGTGTCAGTAATCAGATAGTAATCATCAGCAACCATCTACTTACCCAAGCAAGTCCGGGACGGTCAACGAAACAGTATCGACTGATGGATCCGTTGTTGATTGCATTTTCGGCAAATTGCCATAGGCCGTCTTCAACCGGGGCTTCCCCTCCTTCTAGTAAAACTGTTGGTAACTTGTTACCCTCCGAATTGGTCTTGTTCCCATGGCAGTGGACATGCATCATGTATTTATCTCCATCTACCCAGAACAACTGCCCCGGCGGTGCTAACCCAGCGTCGAGGCCCCGGAGAATAAGAGTACAGGTTGTTAGGACGACGACAAGGACAAGTATGACCATGGAAATAGTAGACAACAGAACAGCAGTCCACTCGGTCAGAGTGCGACGCGTCTCAGCCCGGCCAGTCAGCCGTTCTTCCTCTTCATTTTTACCCCATTCAACCAAGCGATCGGTGAGTAGGGTCCAGAGAGCCATAAGAAACGCCCCTAGATTATTATATCGTTAGGCTTGAAACCCCTATTCTCGGGAGAGTATAGACTTACATAGTACGCTGACCATTCCTACCCAACCCTCTTCATGTCTTGTCTTCTCAATGGACAGCAACAAGACAGCATTGACTAACAACAACGCTCCCAAAACTATACTCAATATTCGAACCGGTTTCGACGGGATAGCAAAGAATATGAGTGTGAATAGCAGGTTCGCCAGCGTTAAACTAGCATAACCAAAAGCGAAGAAACCCGAACCCCGCGTATGAAAACCCGGAGGCGTAACGAAGGTCGAGACGAGTAGGATAATCCACCATGCGAAGGTGACAATGGCGAAGAGGATGGTAAGATACCTGACAATTCGAACACTCCATAGGTTATACGGCGAAACCTAGCAGTATGTGAGTATTAGACGTACACGGAAGACGGAAGCATTGGGAGTATTGCCTACCGCTGGATCATCCGGACTTAAGTAATTCGTGCTGTCGACTCTATTCGGCAGCAAACGAGTATGCTCGCTCGGCGCAGTTTCTCGTTCCTGATCCAGCGAGTCCTGCGGACTGTCGTCCTGGACCCTGGACCCTCCCCAGAGTTTATTCATCCTGCAGCTTAAGCGCTCTCGGCGCAACGCTGAATACTAATAGGATAAAAAATATATCAACAGCGTGTAACAAGAGCTACGCGCAGGGTAGTAGGTAAGTATGGGTATTAGTTATATTAATAATAAATAATTTTACGATACGGCGTGCATAGATCATTAATTATAACAGAGAAACAAAGAGATACACCCATTTACAACCAGCTAATCACAGGAATATCCTCTGGCTGACGGAACGACTCGCGTGATATATACGTCATGACTATGGCATAGCTCTCGGTTAGGGAGTTGCTTTCGCCGCATGCACGAACTAGCATCGAGGCTAATTGGGATAGCTTCAGCCTTCAAATCAATTCTGGTCACCTGGCCTTTCATAGTTGTATGTATGATGATTTATACTACTTGGCTATGAATTGCATCTGAGATCGCGAACTTCAATTGCCGAATTGCTTTCGCTCATTGCCCCATCACCTTAAACATAATTCGATATCCATGTATGTACCTACGTACCTAAGGTACGTATAACTTACACTTCGCTCATCGAATGCATGTTTGCTAGGTTAGACCTTACATATGTAGTCAGTCATCTTATATACGTCAGAGTCTACTATTATATATTTCACGTTACTTTTATCAGTAGCGACGTAATACTAATGTTCTTTTACTAATACACTCGAGGTACTTTTCTTATTATTACAAGCGAGCTATACATAGTACAACTCATCTATAACTCATTTATGAAATTCAATATAACCTCGCATCCCAATACAGCCTCTTATACATAACATCAAGTCATTACTTATTATCTTATCATCACAAATAACGAAGTCAAATATTAATATCCAGACATTTTCTGATACATTAATAAGGCAGCGTCTTAGTCATTAATTTAAATATCATTAAATAGGTAGCTTCAAATTATACTGGAGCGCTGAGGAACAGCTGCCCGGGACACCCGAGGCGAATGCAGGAGCCTGGTTAATCAAGGACACTCAACACCTGATAACGCTATTGAATATCACAGTCTGAGAGCGTCTTTATAGGGAGTAGTGGTTTTTAGTTATACTTTGCGGTTGCTGTGCCACTTCTACTCCTCGTTCTAGGAGCGAGCTGGTTAATACCTTTGAGAGCCTATTTGGTTAAAAGAAAGCAGAAAGCGTTATAGGTGGCATTAGCTTAGTTAACCTAGGCCACTTCCATACTACCTACATGTAGCTATTCGCAATCATTTCGCATACGCACCAACAAGGGAAGAATAAGAGCGTAGATAGGTGAGTGTATACCCACCTAGGTAATCAGGAAGTTGGGAGATGTTGGGCCCAGCCGTTCCTAATTAAGAAGAAATATATGGCAGGTATGTTTATAATCCATCCTCTAGTTAAACTCCGTCTAAGTGGCTTGCTTCATATTTATAGATAGTCCCGTAAGCTGGATTGGCTACTCGTATTTAGCTAACTCGAAATTTATATCAGAGACTAAGTGCTTAATAACACCAATAACTTGTCTATTTAATTTGTCTGATCTTTACTTCATCCGCCAAGATTCTAGCTAGCTCCCATGTAAAAGAATAGACGTGAAATTTCACTTGCAAAGATCCCGTACCTGGGCACTTGTAGGTTCGAGTATAAAAACAACGAAACGGTGAATTAGACGCCGTAAAGTATAGCAACAATCAACCAATTATAACATGCCGTTCAACCTGCGTGTATCGTTTAGTTGGTTGTCACTGTGGAGCCTCTCTCGCAGCACCAAAGGCAATGCTACTGGAAGCTGAATAGCGTCTAGAGCTTGATTTCGAGCCTTGGTGGGTTTCATAAGACCCGGTACCCGAACGTCTCATCCTTTTCCGTTGCTCTGTCTGTTTAAAGAACATTTCCTCGGGATCAGGTCCCGAACCGACTAGTTTAATCGCATTCGGTGGAAGAGTACCAATTGGTAAGTGAAGCTTAGCGCTCGCTTGAGGGTCATCAAGAGAGAGATGGGCCTTGTCGTAGGTTTCCTTCTTATACTGTTTCAAAGCCTGAGCCGACGGTTCCGAAACAGTAACCCAACTTTTGAGTTGAGATATCCAGCGGCGCTTACCATCCTTCTTCTTGTGTCTAGCTAATTCAGTCGGCGGATCATTGATTTTTCTGTTTCCAGCATTCTCGAGAGTATTGCGATTCACTCCGCTATGATCATGTGAGGTTTTCTTATGGTAAGTAGGGTCCATTTCAAGAGATTCCATTGCTCCTGTGACTTGCGATACCAGTATTCCTTCCCCTGGCCTTATTGATGCATTTTCTTGCGAGTCCATTAATGGTGAATGCACATATCTTGTGGTTACGCTTTGTAGCTTAACTGTGGTATCGATGAGTGGAACCCCTGAACTTGACGCGGGTCGATCAGGGTCACTGGAGGGCAGAGCCATGAGTCTAGATGTGTCCAGCGATGCAGTTGTCTTATGTTGGCCGGATGAGTTCCGTTTAAGACGGGATGTGATAATGGATGTCTGAGGAAAGATACGATCTCCTAATGACTGGCCCTTGGTCGACTTTAAAGTCTTATCTTTCAGCCCACCTTTCTCAGCACTCTTCTAAAGGCGTGAAGAATCTTGGGCTTGAGATGAAGACAGATTTAGTAAAGTGCTTCGGCGCAGCTTCTTTCTTGGCATGGGATCTTCCCGTGATAGTGACTCTCGGTCAAGTTGCTCAGACGATACGCCAATGCCGAATTCTTGGTTTCCGTCACTATCCTCGTCATCTAATTGAGAGTAAGACTCCGTCTCGGACCTGAAGGAAAAAGGATCATCGAGCCCAAGTGTTTTCGCCTCACGTGCTCTAGAAACACTTTCGGGAGAGAAATTATAAAGTTCACCCAGCTGATCCCAGGCTGTCTGCTGAGCTATCGGTAGCGATGGAAATGCTGGCGGCTGCCTCAGACTTCCGACGTTGATCGGATAGGAGAAATTACGCAAGACAGGTGGGTTGAAACGTTGTGGTGTTATGGGTGTCTCTGTTGGTGTAGTATCATCCTCGTGTAGAGATCCCAGAGCATTTGGTAGCTTAGGCTTCCGAAGGCGTCCAACTAACCCTACCATTGTACGTCGGAAGGCAAGATATTAAAATGGATAGGGTTCTCGAAGAGTTGATCATATGATAGACGAAAAGACTGCTTAACAGCCTTGCGGATTAGGAATAAGCACGGCAACCCGTGAAGCAATTGACCTAAGTCAAGAATTGGCTTCTAAATACTTTAGATAGTGAAGAGTAAATAGACTAAGTCGTAAGTAAAGACAGTGGTAGAAAGAAAGTGTTAAACCCTCTAACTAAAATCTTGGTCGAGTACCTAAGATGGTTATTCGATTGTATCTAGAATAAATCTAGAAAGAAAATAGACAAGTATAGGAAAGAAGGAACGAGTCAAATGGGACGATTTAACGTTATAGGTAGGCATCTACCTCGACTCGAAGTTACCTTAGGTATTACCTAAGATATCATAATAATATGTACGGGACTAAAGGTAGGCGCGCTACTAAACTATGCGGGTAGTTTGAGACTACATGTAGTCATTATTATTAAGAGTTGAGCTTGCCGTATATTTGAAATACTTAGATACCTAATTTAGTACGGCGCCACCCTTCCCTGCCTTTGTTCGGATAGAAACATATATACGAGGCTTTAAACCACGGGAAGCATTAATGATGCTAGATTGTTAGATGGTGGGATGTAGGTTAAAGAAGAAAACAGTTTTATTATTCTCGGCAACTTACAGAAACCCCGTTTGCACATGGCACGTAAACTAATATTATGTAGATTTAGACTACCTAACGCTACGCCATATATCATATTCAATTCCGATAGTGATATGTGATAAGTAACTACCTAATAAAGTAATAATCAGCTCTCACAAGGTCATTGTGAGCGCCACAATATTATTGTGAACAACATCTAATGTATGTAGTTATATAATATAGTATAAAGTGTTGAGATATACCTACTTGATGCTTTATATTGTTGTTGGTAAGAATTGGCTTTATGTTTTATTGAAAGTCACAACACCGCACCTGTAAATGGTAGAAATGAGACGTCATCTGCAACATAATATTCGAGTAGGTAACTGGGTAACTAAGATCTGCAGGGTACAGCTGTGACCAGGGATCCCAGACCTGCCGCTGTACACGGATAATGAACCGAGTCCCTTGTTTAACTGGGTCCACTACTTCACTTTCTGCACTTCTCATTGGTTTTTGCATCTCTACCTAGTCTTATGTACACATTGACAGCCCGCCCCACTTGCCCTCTAGCCGCCTGGACCACTCTATCTAACGCCGCAACACCGACCCCCAAGCCTATGCGCCTTCAACTCATACAACCACCCTAGACTAGTTCACTATTCTATACAAGATAACGAAGCATTCTAAGAGACCATATACTTCAAACCATAAAGGCAATTACCATCACTTTCTCTCTGCCTATCCTCACAGCCACATAAATCAATTCTATTCCAAAGAGACAAAGCGGCGCAACGCAACGCAATTCCACCCAACCTGGACGCACAACACCCACGAGCCCGAGCCACGATGCCCGGTCTCACACTCAACACAAGCAGCGCCGCCCGCGCGCCCACGCATCCCCCCAGCCAAACTCCCGCCGCGACCGCGAACCCAAGCACAAGCGCAAACACGCAAGACCCAGCGCGCCCCTCCTCGCCACCAAGACCGACCTACAGCCCCATCACACCACCTCTAAACCCAGTCGCGTTCCCGCCACGGCCGACATACACGCACAGCTCACAGCAGGACCAAGTAGGGATAGCGCCGCCACCACCCGAGCCCATCGACTTCGACAGCAACCCCGATGTCCTGGCCCTCAAATCCGCCATCTCCATCCTGCAGCTGCAGCGCCGCAAGGCCGCCGCCGACATGGCGCTGCTAAGCCGGGTCAAAACCGCCGCGCTCGCCGAGCCCGAGGCCTTCGTGCGCGACTTGACAACGGGGCGCGTGGGCATGGAAGGCGACGCGCTGTATGGCGGTAATAGTAGTGCTGCGTACGATGACGATGACGACGACGACGACGACGATGATGAGGACGACGAGATGGAAGACACACAAAGTAATACCGCTGCTGCCGGACAACCCGCACCCTCCACAACTTCACACGCCAGCTCAAGCGGCAACAGGACACTCACCGACAGCTTAGTAGCATCGCACTCAGAAATTAAGAGCGACCCCGACGCCACAGAGCCAGAGCCTCCGCACCACCACCAGCACCAACCCAACCCCCAATCCCGCCCCTGGACCAGGCTCCCCAAGCCGCAAAACGTAGTACGCTGCCCGCCCATCAACTGGGCGCAATACGCCGTCGTCGGCGAGTCCCTCGACAAGCTGCACAGCGAGCAAATCTCGCGGCCCGCGCAAGGGGTCCCGGCCGCCGTGGGGCCAGACGGCCGGTACGAGTTCAAGGGGGAACCCGGGCGGCAGGAGAAGCTAGTTGGGGTCGCGGCGCCGTATGCGCCGGGCAAGGACCGCATTGAGCGGAAGCCTAAGGGGCCTAAGCGATGATGGTCCGAGGCTTGCTGGGTGGGCTGACTAGAGCGGGTAGTCTATTCCCTGGAGATGTGAAGAGAGAGATAGACTAGAGACTGGAAATACATAGCTGGTCGACTATGAAGTCATGGCTGATGACGAATTCATGTATATTATGAACAGCATTGTGTTTAGAACGGTACACAGTTTTGGGAACCCGACATCATAAACAGGAGTTGCTCTATTTTTAACTGTAAATATCAATACTATTAGGGGTCATGGATATTCTACCGGGTGGCATAATAAAATGGTCAGGTTAAAAGATTGTTATATACCTAGGTAACGAACTTCGAACAACATGATCTTATAAATTTCTAGTTAATCGTTCTACGTATTGAATTAGTGAAGGTCAGCATACATCGGTAGAAACGTATAGCGGCATTTGTATTGAATTCATCGTATTTATCATGTAGCCCGCGAAAGCAAAAGAGGTATCAATCCTAGTCTAGAAGCCGTCCATCTCGGCAGCGGCGTACCTATTCTTAAGCCCTGAGACCTGGAATCGTTGAGAGTACATTCACGTTCCTATCTGGAACGTCAAGGAATAGACGTGTTGCTAAGAACTCCTTTAAACACCCGCGCCATACCTAACGGAAACGGAGGTTGATAGCCTCCGACACTGGGTAGTCTTCTGATACAACCGGGGAAGCCATTCACATGCTACCCGGGGTAGTCATCCATAGTCGTTACTCGTGGGAACGCTAGAAGTCTTCCATGCTTCTTTGTACCGATCTGCGCAACTGTCTGTTGTATAACTTTCTCTGGTCGGCGGTGCCCCAGTAAAGCTTATGGGCCTCGGGATGAACTAATGTTCTTGGATCGTAAGGGGGTTGCTCCTCTTCCAAAGCCTCGATGATTGCTTCTATGTGCTGCTTGATATCTTCACGGCGGCTAGAATTCGGGAAGTAGCACGGTGTACCATCTGCTGCAATCCGATGGTGGAACATAGGCGTCAAGAATTTGATTCTCGGCTGTTCTTCAGGGAAGCGGGGACTAAAGTTGAGCTTGATTCGAAACATACCCCCATCTAAATTCGTCATGGGTCGTCCGAAGTAGGTGAGGTTCCACACAAAGGGGTTTCCATCTACTAGCTCGACGCTGTGGGGAACATCGCTGCGCTTAAAGGATTCCTTGATCTGTTCAAATTGCCGTGAAAGGTTAACGGCAACGGTAGTATCCTTCATCCTAGGAGATGCCCCTTCTGATGCCCACCTTTCGGACTCCGCATCTAAAGCAGCCTTGATCCGACGTATTCTTTTTTCAAGTTCGGTGTAATTAAACTTCCCGTCCATAGAATTAGACGCCCCTTCAAAAGGCATGCGTGCAAACGGCTGACCGTCCTTGACCTCTTCTTTTGCCTTGGTAATAGTCTCGAGGTATGAGTCATAGTACCAGAGGAAGCGACGCTTGCAAAGATCCTTAAATGGCTCCCAGGGAACGCTCGCATCGTCCATCTCCATATCGTCGTCCGCGTCGCCGCCGTACTCTTCCCGTTCCATTGCAGATGCTGGTGAGAGGCAGCTTCCTGTGATTCCCAAGTATTCTTCCAGTCTTTGGATCACAGAGATGCGTAATGTTTCGTGGCGGATCTATAGAATTCGCTATTAGAATATCCTAAAAGCATACATTTTTCGACAGAAGTTACCTTTGCGATATATTCCTTCTGGTTCTTCTTATCGTGGGATTCGTTCGCATCCTCAAAGCCCGGCTCGTTCTCGTACGGATTCGATGACATGAGACTCTGTATTGAAAGTAGGATGGACTCTAGACCCTGAGCGGCGGACCACTCTTCACCTCGCTCTCCTCGCCATGTACTAGAATCGGATTAGGTTCGTCGGCGAAGGATAGATATATATATAAGGGAGGTTTATATACCCGAGAATTGACCTGGTATCTTGGTTAGCAGAGCACACGACACAGCCGTTCAATGGTATTTGTTTTGCTTACAGGCACACTTTCCCTGAGGCATAGATATTTGGATTGAATCGACATCGTCCGCTGTTGGTAGTTGTTCCCGTGACGGCAGGTGACTTCCGGGGGTAGTCTTGTGAATGCCATTAATTAGCTAGCAATCTAAGCCGGGAGGGAATGGCGTTAAGAACCAACCTTTGTTAAATTTCACCGAGAACTTGGCAATATCAGTATCTATAGTAACGGATCATATATGATTATTAGGGAAACCGACCTCGAAGAATCCAAATTCGTACGGGGTCTCGTGAGGACCGATGATCAGGGCCTTGACACTTCGAACATCGCGATCACGAAAGGCTACAGCGAGAGCTGGCGATTGAAATAATAATTAGATCAGGACAGGAATACGTATGCCGGAGAAGGGTTTGTCTTACAAAGGTCTGAACTCTTCTGGAGCTCACCGATTTCCTGTGGTGAACAGAAGTCTCGTCAGCTTCATTGCCCCTCCAAGATGTGAGACGCCATAGCGTACCTTAGTGATGCGGATGATTGACTGGTCCGCCATAGCTTCTAACGGCTATTCATAAGCTGAAGTGGGATATTGAATTGGTAGAACTAACGGCGGCCTTACTGAAATGGGAGAGTTAGAATTGAAGTTGGGTAAGGTAAGGTAAGGTAAGGTAAGGTAAAGTTAAATTTGGGAAGTTGTTCGGCGCGCGTCTTATGGGTTTGGGTTGAAGTATCGAAGCAAAAGCAACGAAATAGGTAGCACTTGCAGCTTGCTCTTGAGGTGCAATGCGGGCAGGTGGGGAATCCCCCCCCAGGCAGAAAGGGCCGGGACCCACTAAGAGGGTCTAGTGTGTCACTGGTAGCGGGGGGTGACTGCCTTGTTTTACGCTATATTAGCCAATCGCATGTATTTGTACCTATTATGCAGATTAGATAAGACGTACAATGGGAAGCACATGCAGAATTCTAGACTTTTCTTCCCGTCCTAAGAAGCCTATGTTTTCATTAAGCATCTTTTACTCGTTGGCATTATCTGGATTTTATGAGCTGCGTGTTAAAATTTGTGTTTGTGTTTCACTAAAGAACAACTGCTAGCGCTGTGAAACTAACCTAGTAACTATTAATATGTCTTTAATTGTTTCCAGAAGAGTGCAGCTTCCGGACTTATGTACAAGATGTAACTGAGTACGAATACAAGCTGCACTAATAATTCAAACTAGATACGAGATAAGCAAGCTATCAGACTATCAACCCTAGAAGCCATACCATTAGATACCATCCCGTATCACCCTGGAGTTCCCCCCCCCCCCTGGCTTCATCGCGGGGGGAGTCAGGAACGCCCCACTCCCAATTTCTCATGGATCTTCAATAATTTGGCGTCCTATGTAGCGTGACCATTACCTGCCCGAGCTCCAATATTGCCAGGCGGTGAAAGGGGGTAAATTACCAAGATAGTCTAACTTTAGGTACCTATACATACACCTATACATACACCCACAGCTCAAGGTTCTCAGGGTCCTTCAGTATAGCGATTACAGCTTGCATAAAACCATCTTGCCATCTTGCCATCATGTCCGAAGCTACAACGAAGCCCTTATTGGGCAATGTCCTCGTCATCGGTGGCTGTGGTTTCCTCGGCCACCACGTCGTGAACATTCTCCTACGCGACTGGAAGTGCACCGTTTCCGTTGTCGATCTCAAGTGCCAACGCAACCGAAGACCCGAATCCGATGGTGTCCAGTACGTAGAGGTCGACATCACCGACGCCGATGGCTTAGTCAAAGTCTTTGGGAAGCTGAAACCCGATGTTGTTATACACACTGCCTCGCCACCTGCGCAGGGTCTCGGTGCTGTTGCGAACGAGGTATTCAAGAAGGTTAATGTGGATGGGACCCGCGCTGTGATCGCCGCCTGCCAGCAGAACGGTGTCAAGGCGTTGGTATATACAAGTTCTGCCAGCGTCATGAGCAATAATAAGGATGATCTAATAAATGCGAACGAGGACTACCCTGTCATCCGTGGTAAAATGCAGACAGAATACTACTCCGAGACAAAGGTATGCCTACATTGCCGAGCTTCTAATACATGGTGTACATCTTTACTAACGGCTTTGGCTAGGCACATGCCGAGGAACTTGTCTTAAAAGCGAATCGCGTCGAAGGGTCCGACCTCCTGACTGCAGCTATCCGACCATCCGGCATCTTCGGCGAGGGCGACGTACAATTAGTCTTCCACACAGTCAAGATCTACCGCGAGGGCAAGGATAAGATACAAGTTGGTCTCAACCAAAACCTATTCGACTTCACATACGTTGAGAACGTAGCCCACGCCCACCTCCTCGCCGCCCGCGCCCTACTAGTCACTCACGCCGCCTCCACCGCGCCCCTCAACCACGAGAAAGTCGACGGCGAGGCCTTCATAATCACCAACGACAGCCCCGTCTACTTCTGGGACTTGATGCGTGCTATATGGCGGGCCGCCGGATCGGAGAAGGGCACCGACCACGTGTGGGTGATGAGCCGGGAGATGGGTATCCTGCTCGGATACTTGAGCGAGGTGTTCTTCGGGATCCTGAAAAAAGCTCCGACTTTCAACCGGCAGCGGATCATCTATAGCACCATGACGAGATACTACGATATTTCGAAGGCGAAGCGCCGGCTCGGATACCAGCCTCTGGTAAGCCTGAGCGAAGGCGTCAAAAGGACAGTTAAATGGGCTCTAGAACAGGAGAAGAACGCCGCACCAGCAAAATCGTGAGATTTGTCTTAGTAGATACTGTCGGATTTGTATTACATATATAGGTAGAAGCTGGAAAACTTAATAGTACACTAATTTATACGAGATTTATGTTGTGGATGACTTAATATTGAGGATATCTGGGGTTATTGAGTTTACCTATGATGAGTTGAATGATGGGCAACACGAACCTTGTCCTCCTTTCTCATACATTTTACTTTGATATACAGGGTGTGTGTAGACGTCAAAGGGGGGCAATAATTGTTACCTAAGCGGCACGGAAAACGAGAATTATCTTATTTCAACAATACGAGAACAATACACTAATAGCCTCCCCATACAAATTTCTACCTACATTACATTTCGAACAAGACAACACACACACACACACACACACACACACATACACATACACATACTTCAGAATTATCAATTGAAAGGCTAGGCCTGGAATGCTTCTCTGTCTCTTGCCATTCTCACGATTCGATGAGTACGACTCGCCTTCTACTGCTAACTACCTACGGTACCTGCGCAATCCGATTGATCAATCACACCTATCGACTAACCTAACGGACGCTCCCGAACAAAAGAAAAAGCCCGAGGCGTATTAGCCGATCTGATCGGGATTGGATATCTGGGGGACACTTGTAGCTGCTGCTGTTTCTGTCTTCTGCCCTACTCCCCCTTTGCTCCTTCAAACCCCCGTTTCGAAGCCTAGGTCTGCCTAGCTCCAGGAATAATCTACTGATCCGAATTTTTTAGTTAAAAAAAGAGTTCGTTGAATAAATCCGACCCGTTCGGGGGAGCAAGCCAAGAAAAAGAAAGAAAGGCAAAGACATATCCCCTCTACTCCAAGCTGTTGCTGCCAGACCTGATCGGACATGGCACACCACTCCCCAAAGCAAATATGCTTCTAGAACAGAATATAGGCTCACTAGACGACCGCTTCGCCTAGGCAAACCCCGCAAATGTTGAAAAAGCGAATCAAAAAAAAAAAAAGTCGCAAAGTCCTATTTGGCGAAAGGAAGAGATGCGCAACGCCGGCCGAAAATGCTGTTGAGTCTCTCTACACCTGATTCATGCTATGTCCTGAAGAAAATCAAGGCTGGCGAACGTGGATGAGATATAAAATATTCCCGCTCCGAGTAGTCCATACAAGTCGAACAAGCCCCTACTACCATGGAGAAATATATACCGAGGATCTAAAACCTAATTATTACCCTGTACCAGTCGTGACAGAATTATTTGGTCTGCCCCAGCCCGAGTTGCGCCACTCTCGGCGCTGGCCATTCTCAGGATTTTTAGGTTGATTATCAGCTTGCTCATACTGGCCCGCGTAAGGTGGTTTCCCATTCTCAGGTTGGCGCCAATTCTGTGGCGGAGCTCCTTGGGCTGCCGTAAAAGGAATTGTTGGCTCTTGAATAGGACGTACACTGCTCTCCTGCTGCCATGCAGCAGGATCTGTAGCGACTCTAGTAGCCATGGGCCGCTTGCCGGTCTCTTGCTGTCTAACAAATTCGTTGCTATCATATTGCCTAGTGAGTCCACCTGCAGACCTAGTTTCAATACGCTTGAGGATCTCCTTAGTTGTGATATCGCCATTGTTCATGAACAAAGTTGAATCACCCAGAATGTCCATGATTTCAGCGGGAACCTGGTATCATACGTTAGTACGAGGGAAAATACGAGGGGAAATATACAAAGGGCTTTCTACATACCATGCACATCTCTTCGTTGAATTGTATCAACTCTTCGACACAAGCCACCGCGGTCATAGGCTCGTCTGAGAAACTCGGGCTCTTTTCGTTCGTATAAAGTACGTTCGGGGCGATTACACGGGCAAGGTTGTGTACGTCCATCCTCGATCCAGTATCTTCATCGACCTGGTGGAAAGTAGCCACCCATTTCAAGAAGTTGAAGAGGACTTCTAATGTATCTCGGTGGATCTGTGGAAGCAGGCAGCACGTCAGATGCAGACAATGTCGCCTTTTATCGGTATCTTTAATCTTAGTTGCGGCTATCCAAACTTTGTAAAGTTTCTGTGTCATCAAGGGTTCTGGTAGTTCACGGAGATATCGTTTAAGAAGTGCTGCGAGTTGATGCGGAGTCTCATCATTCCACCGGATGGCATCGCAACCATCTCTGTCAACGGCATTCACCTGTTCGGTGAGCTTCTTAATATTGCCATTCTTACGGAAGACACCTTCGACTGACAGATCCTTATTCTTCAGAGCGGTAATTGTGTCCTCGATAATGGCTGGTATCCGTAGAGCACCCGGTCCCACGCCATCTGTAGAGTCGGCGCCATCGCGCTCGATGATTAATTCTAATGGAACCCCAAAGACACCCTTCTTCTTTACTGCCTTGCGGGTATCGTTTTTGCCGAATGCCTTGCCGAATTTATTCCAGAATGTCGGTGCCTTTCTTGCCTCGATGAGGCTAAGCAATTCCTCAAGTGAAAACTCTGGCTCGAGCATGGGTTGCATTGTAAGGACTGCTACATGTCGAACGATAAAATACTCAAGGCCAGATAGTTCCGAGAAGAACTTCCTCCCGTCTCTCTGAGGCAACCGATCTCCTGGTAAACCCTGGTCGTCTCGTCCTGGGGAAAGACTTCTCTCGTTACTAGTACCGTAAGAACCCTCAGTTGTGGCGGATCGGAAGAGCTCTTGGCGCGATGCTCTATACGCGCTAGGCTGCTGCTCCCGAGCCTGTTCGGCTGCGACGATTCGAGGAATATCATCCAGAGTCAGCGCATCCTGGTGTCCGAAATATTGTTTTGTTGTGTCGCCTTCGCCTTGTTCTCCATCTTCCTCGATCTGCATTACCTTATTCTGTGAGCCCATTTCCGCGCCGGCAGATCCAGGGCGAATACTGCGTGCTTCAGGCCCATCCATAATCCTTGACGTCCGGGCTTTCCTAAGGCTTGAGGACAGATGCTTATCGAGACGCGTACTCCTAAGTCTACGCACATCATTGAGAGTATTCTCATAAGACGACTCTCTCTGATGCCGCTCCCGCTCGCCACCAGAGGATTTAGACCGAGAATCTGATCTAAGTATCGCAGGACTACCGTCCGTAGACACACGTCCTTCAGGAGAATCTTGACCGTTAAGGCTTGGATCTTCTGAAGACTGAGGAAGAGCGCCGCTAGTTCGAAGTATCTCCAGCAGCCTGGCTAGGGCGACTTTCAAAAGGAATATGTACTGCTGAAGCTTCGTTATCCGTTCCAAAGGTTGACCATGCCCGTCAGCCGGATTTTCGCAATTTGAACAAAGAATATTCAGGTCTCGGTGTAGATGAGCCTGGACCAAGTTCTTGCCTAGTATTTTGCCGCACCGCACGCATGTTACGCAAAATAGATGCCATCTCTTATCCCCGCTCAAAGCGCATTCGTCCTCGATGGGCTTGCGGCACAAGGTACAGTGATCCGAGTCATTAGCAGAGAGTCTCGACATACCTAATGTGATCTGCAAGGACTCGTCATCGGTTTTGATCGTTTCGAGCATACTGAGATCTTCGAGGAACTGAAATAGTGCTTCTGGAGAGCGGTGCTCCTTTTCGACCCTAAGCGTTCCTTGGAGGCAAATCCTGATTAGGAGCTTCAGGTAATGAGCTAGGCCCGTCACGAGAGACAGTAGCTCTTGGGTAACGCCCAATTTCCGCCCAGTAGTCTCTTGCATTTTGGACAGTAATGAAAAGAAGGCTACAATCTTCTTACAGAGAAGTTTTGATTCTCTCGCGTAGGATAAGTCTAGAATTTTCTTTTAGCATCTCTGTTCAGTTATAAGCGTAGTGTTTCATACCAGTCATCTCTAATTGCTTGATAGTCTGATCAAGTCTGTCTGCAGATCGGAACAGGATGTCTACATGTACGATGAACTTTTTGGCGACGAAGACTCCGTCCATGTATGCACCGTTGCTGACATGAAGAAGCATGTCCGAAATACATGCGGCTGAGGATTCTTCGAATGCTGACAAAACGCTCCAAATTCGATAAACCTTGTTCTCCATGTCTTCTTCTTCCTGTCGGACAAGCTCACGGCCCTCGGGGCCCACAGGTTCGGGACGGGGCTCAGCAGGTTCTTGGGGAGCTGTTAGACGGACGTTCCAAAACTTGTGGATCATATAGCACTCTGGATGCCAGTGCTGATTTTGCCCGTTACGGTATATCTCGACAAACTGCTTGAGAATAGCGGTTTGGCAGCCATTGCATCGCTGAGCAAATTGCGTCGAGTAATGGTAATGGCAATACACATTCCCATCATGTTCGTAATAGCTATCCTGGGCCCCAAAGACTGTCGAGCAGAGTGAACAGGTGAAGTGGTCAACATGGTATTTGCGGTCGAGGGCGGTAATATAAGAACCGCGCAAAGCGCCGCCACATTGGTAGCATAGAAGACCAAGTCGTCGAAAGTAATCTGTCTCGCAAAGTGGATATTGGCCGCCGGTTTCTTCGTCGTCCGCAGGGAAAAACTTAGAGGCCACAATCTGACCGCAGTCCTGTATTTTGTCAGACACAGAATATATCACGTAGGGGTAATCAAAGCTCTTACACGACATCTGAAGCAGTCGAGATGGTACGTGCCTTCTAAGGCCCGCACAAATTGACCGGTTAAAGATTCACCACACTTGGCACAGATACGAAGCTGCCCACTTGCTGTTCTTCCGCCTCGTCCTCGAGATCGGTTGCGCTCACCGCTCTGTCTCGGGTCGCCTTGAGCACTAAGGGACGGTGAGCCAGGCGGTAGGCTAGGCGGAGGGAAGGCTCCGTTTGAAAAGGATGGACTCGGCGTCATATTTGGCCGGTCATGGTCAAGCTGGTAGCTGTTCTCGTTGGGCAGCGGCGATGGTTGCCTGTGAATCCGGTCGCCAGCCAGACCGCCTTCGTAGTCGGGGCCCATCATGGCGACCAAAATGAGGTTCTACCTCAGCCTAGCTGTTTAAAATGGAAAGCAGTCGGAATGGAGTTCGGCGCCGAACTAATTCAAGGACAAGACGAAGCGGCGATTGTACGATTGCGGTAGCGTTGTCCAACGTCAGACATTGGCATCAGACGGCGAACTTTGTCGTCCTCCAACAGGATGTGCGACTGGATGCGGATGCGGATGCGGATGCGGATGCAGGAAACGGAAAACAATTATTCGGCGTGGAACAAGTGAGATACGGATTTGGCGACGAAGGAAAATATCGGGATCCGGCCAATATCTAGTGGTGAACGAGTGTGGCAGTGAAGTTACCGTAGCTGACGGCTGGTTAAGGCAAGTAGCGGGTATTTTTTTTTGTCGATGCGACGTAGTCAGAACGGAATTGGGGTTTGCGGTGGGAAAATGGCGGATACTTTGGTTGGTTTGGCGGTAGGAAAAGTTGATGATTAATTTGGGCGTGTGAATAGAAAGCTGGGTAACGGCAACGAAGGCTTTGGCTAGGCGGCGTCTACTTGTCGAGGATATCGAGAAGGTCGATGGTATCGAAACATGCGTTGGCAGAGAAAACGATCGTGGAGGATACGATAGCACGGCATGAAGTATGTAACGCCGTAATCAGCTTTTCAGCGGAAAGGCAGGGAGGTGGGAGGGACTGTTCGTTGCCGGCGAGATCAACCTTCGAAGGCGGAGCTAGGAGCGGGAGCTGCAGCAGAAGGGGGGAACAAGACCGGGGTCAGTGGGAATCTAAATGCAAGACAAAGGGATAATGTTTTTCAACGCATAGGTAGCGTGAGTAGGTGAGAGTAGGGGTAAAGGTAAGATCAATTCAGATCAATCCAATAGCGAAAGGAGGTCCCTTCTGCTGTTTAGACTTCCCGTTGTTAGGATGCTTGAGGGGCTAGGAGTCTAGGAGTCGAGTCCGAGGATAGGTACCTATGTAGGTAGGTAGAAGCTTAGAGGTAGGTAGGTTATGTAGGTGGAAGAATAATGACCGAAAAGAAAAAAAAACAATTGATAACCCGTTCGAGGTTGCGACACACAAGACGGGTATCAGTACGACCAGCGGTTGCTATGAGTTTTTGAAAGAAAAGCTAAATAACTTGGTAAATTATGGCTCGCCCCTAGTATTCTTCCTTATAACTTAGGTACCTTTAGAGGTATGTAGGTAGTTAACCCAAGCTGAGTCTAGGAGACTTGACTCCTACTAAAGATTGTAAAGAAAGCTGGAGAGTTAGCAGGTCTGTAGGTCTGCAGGTCTGCAGGTTAGGAGGCGCAGGATAATGGACCTGAATGGATCACCTGCAATCTAATTGATAGCCTTTAGCGCCTGTCTTAGCTCTTGTCCTAAGCTCTCGTCCAGTCAGGCCAGTGCTTCAGATACCCCACAACCCACCAACATTTACAAGTGAGAAGTACCTAGGTACCTCTACAGGTATGTAACTCAGGTACCTGGTAATCCGTACCTAGGCAAAGGTTATGTGCCAGATGTAATCATAATAGGGTCTATCACGTGATTTAGGTCCGATTAAGATGGACCTCCAGCTTCAGCCTTCAGAACAGTATCAGAACAGTATTATTTATGTGTTTGCTCCTCCCAAGTTTGCTACTCAAGAGCAAATGTAGGTAGTTTAAGCTATGAATACCTAAATCAAGCATAGGTAATGATCCATTAAAGTAAAGAATTTTTCATGGGCTAGAAAGAATCATTAACTAACTTACCTAAACTTACGTTAACTACCTAAGGTAGTCATTTAGAAATATGAATTGTAGTGCATAAGCCAACCAATTTTAATCCATTTTTAGTTACTCACTACATATATTTCAATGAGATATGTATTCTCAACTACGGTAAACATCGTCTAGTTAGCTTATTAACCATAATTACGGTTCTCATCCAATCACATCATATGAAGTAAAGGTCAAATAATTCATTCAACACTCATACTTTCACCGCTTCGGTGTTCTTTGGTTAGGCCACTTCACCTATCCGCTGGAATGCCACCTGAGCGCTCAACAAATATGGTCGCGGTAGTATAAATGGTATAAATGGAGCAACAGGCAGCTGTGGAAATCTTGATCCATATCGGCGCTCCAAGCAGAGCAGCCGATGATGTTTGGTATCGATCTCTCGCCTCTTCCTATATAAATTTCCAGCCGGCCGCCAGTATCGATTTCCTCAACCAAGGATGCTCAACTGTGGATATAGACGATGGGCAGGGGACCCAAGAAGCCCCTATACCAGCCTTCACCACTGGCACACAATCAAGTGAGCCATTTGGTCCGTATAGGTCACCACAAGCCTCATTTAATAGCGTCATTGACAATGCCGGGTCACCACGCGTCTTTGCGCGACGGATATTGGAGGATGACCCTCCGAGTACCAATGATGAAACCACAATGCCAATAACACAGTCGCCATGGCAGACACCGTCCAGCGAAGTGCAAGATTCATACGTAGGAAACCCTATCCACATCTCTACCTTCACCTCTCCTACGAGAATCTTAGAGCATTACCTGCAACGGTTTGATTCTCCATCATCATCTCAAAAAACCACATCTCAACGAAGCGGCATCGACATCCCCCCCAGTAGCTCCCAGAGGTCAATTATTCCTCGCTCTGAAGATAATCCAATTCCCCTTTTAGCCCCTTATACGCCATCAGTAATACCCTGCACACCTCCGTGCGATCCTCGTTCTAGCTTAGGAGGATTAGTTGAGACAAAACCTACAGAGGCATACCACACAAGATTTACCCAAGATGAGGTATCCAGTGACAATATTGTCGAGGAGACTATCTTGATACGATCCTCAGACATCTCATCCACAACTAGAGCGGACTCGGAACCCCCACCAGCCAAGCGGCACCAGCCAGATACTCTCGACAAAGACCCGCGGGCCCTCCTAAGAGCCGCAAGCGACATTGGCCCAAGGGTATCTTCCAGCCAGAAGTCGTTCTTAAGAGTAACCTTCCTAAGCGACCACGGGTACACATACGACAGCCTGGAACTCCGCGCGCCAGAACCTCCTATCTCAGTGACGCAGGTCGACCCGCAAAGCTTCATCACGCCAGGCCTCGAAAGCCTAGCCCGGGATCTAGATATTCCGAAGCGATACAGGCCAAAAGAAAGCAAACGAGACCTGCGGCCTTCCGAACGCGGGTACTGGCTCGTAGATTGTTCGGCTTGGGATCCGCAGCTCAAACGCGATGCTTGGGCGTACCTTGCAAACTACGTCGGGACTGGCGTTGCGGGATGGGGCGTCTCGTGTAGGAGGGACAGGGAATTTCAGTCTCTCCGGGTTTACTGCTGGGGCTTGGTAACGGCGCATATCTACTTGCTATTATATCTAGCCAGTCAGCGGAAGATTCTGTATACTGGCAGCTCTTGGATTGATGGCGAGGGCATCCCAGTTATTGTCATGCAAACGAGAGAATAATACTAATAAGCGTATCTTGTCTATGATAAAGGTTGGGAATTAAGAATTAAAGGTATTACAAGCATTTACGGGGTTTGGCGTATGGAATAGGATATCACTGGGATATATTTAGTGAGAATTATAATTTTAATTGCCAATACTTTTCGCAGCACATGTTTTTGCTTAATACTAATACAGCTCTACCACTATTACCATCACTAGCATGGGATCTCCGAGCGGTTCTCATTAGTTAGGAAATGGGGATGAATATTGCGAGACAAACGGACTATCTACAAGTACAAGCCGTGTCAAACAAGGAGTCACGGTTAAGCCACTGCATCGTCCCGAAATGAATGTAACGAATTCTTGCGTCGCCACAAGAAAGAATGAGAATCATTGGACGGGCCGGCCAATCTCCCAATCGTCTTTCCTCATAACCATGAAGGAGCCACTGATTCTAGGGCTCATAGCCACCTAGTTTATGTACTAGTAATAGACGGGAAAAGGAGCCTAGATCATGCAGGTGGCGCCGGTGGCGTGGCTGAACGACGTGGAGGGGTCGGCTTGCGATGCAGAACCGCCTCAACTTCCTTCTCGTACTCGTCTCTGGCTGCCTTCCCAAGGTCGTCATACGCCTATAGTCTAGTTAGTCTTCGTAATAATCAAAATAGAGACACAAGGCAGTCTTACGTGGCGTTCCACATCCGGCAATTTGATCCACTCTTTTCCGATTTCCCTGGCAGCCTCAGCGAAGGGGCGCGTCGCGAAGTCTCCGGAAGCCCATCGTGCCTTTGTGAAAAGACTGAATGGAGTAATGGGTCTCTTAGGGACACGCGGGTCGTGAATGGTTTTCAGGTTTGCCACGGGGTAGTTATACTTCCTCTTCAGGAGTTGGCGAGCCCGGTTGGCAGCAACCGTCTGATCAGGAGTATGGGTCTCTACCCAAGCCTTATAGGCAGCTGCATTGTTGAGTTTGTTTTGCGCGGCAGTATCGGTAAGACGCTAATAATGATTAGGGTATTGGTCATAGCTATAATTAGTATCATGGTAAATTACTAACCTGATGCTCCGAGGCTGGAAGACTTCTGTAACTCTGAGCTAACCCTAACATCCGATCTCGAAGATCTTCTGCGCTCGTAACTTTATCCTTAGTTTGCTCAGCTACATATACAGTCCATGGGCTGTCGGCAAGAAGCTTTGGTTCGTTAAATAGTGCCGTCTTCTTGAGCTGTCTTCTCTCAAGGATGGCCTTCTTCGCTGGTGACAATGGCTTCTTTTGCTTTCGTGCTCCCTTGCCCTTAGCTTTTGACTTGGGGGCCGCCTTCTTCTTGGTGGTTTTGGCCTTGGTAGTTGTTGCCTTCTGCTTGGTTCTTCCTTTAGTAGCTGCTGCTTTGGTAGTACCTTTGGTGGCCTTGGTGGCCTTGGTGGCCTTGGTGACCTTGGTAGCCTCAGTAGCCTTGGTGGCTTTAGGCTTAGAGGCTTTGGTGGTGGCCTTAGTAGTAATGGAAGCCTTTGGTTGTCCTGCAGTCGCAAAGCCTTGGACGAAGCCGCGACTGTATCTACTAGTATGAGTAATGGGCCATGAAACCGCAATGCGGCGGGGTGCCGTAGTAGCAGATGTAGAGACTACCCGCTTAATCGCGGCACGTCCTATAGACGACAGCATGGCAGGCAATTGAGGTTTGTTGTTGAAATTTTCACGTGGAATTGGACGGATTAGAAAAAGTAGGAATAATTTGCAGGTGGGACTAGAGGGGCACCTGGCTGTGTTGAGGACGGAATTGAGAGTCGCAATCCGGACCCATGTTTATTCCACACGCGACAAATTGAGACAAATTAATGCAGCTACCTAACTTGTGCTTGAGCTTTTCTGTTGTGTGATGTGCTATCTGCTATCTAGCCGACCCACTTGCAACCTAGCTCTCCACACCTAGGTAAAATTACAAGCTAGGTACCTATCTAGCGAACGTGGTGGCGTCATGCAAGGTAAAAAGTCGGATGTTTGAGCCACATATATTCGGTTAGGTACCTAGGTACAGTCATGGTGGATTCCAATTTGTACTTCGTACAAGTTACTCTTCAGCCACTTTAGCCACATATTGATTTTTTATACGGCCGAAATTTGGAACGTTCTTTCAGCTAAAAATATACCGAACTACCTAAATTAACTGGCTGCAGGTGAATACCTCAAATATCTTCTTCATTCATCCGTTACCTCCTCCACATTAGAACACACCCAACGACCAAATTAATCTGCTAGTATAGCTAAGGCACGAGAAATATTCGAGCTTCAATTCATTAGGTGATCTTTCTATTAAGTCTGGTCGTCTAACTGGAAGCTTCCTTCGAGTCCCTCTGGTAGCTCTCACCATTGTAGTGCGACCGAGCCGTACTATATATAAAAAACCATGGCTCGGCTCAGAGACTCACGCTCACCAACTCCAGCAGGAAGCCAGCAACCCTCCAGAAAACATCGTAGAGATGACGATAGAAAGGATCGAGATCGATTTCGGGATCGGGATCGCCGAGACTACGGGCGCGACCTAAGACGCCGGAGTCGCTCTCGGAGCCCACACGATGTGAGACGCCGTGGATCTAGCAGATCTAGCCATGTTCACTTTACTAACAATTATTTGGTACAGCGTCGTAATCGCGACCGGGACCGCGACCGGGATAGAGACCATGACTTCCGCCGCCGTGACCGTTCCGTAGACCGTCGAGGTGATGACTATTATCGAGGTGGAAGGGACCGCAGGCGGTCGCGTGATCGCCTCGTAGATAGGGAGAGGGACCGCTCCACCGAGCCTCGCCGGCGCAGAAGCCGCGACCGTGATGGTGACAGAGATCTCCGAAGCAGGCGAGACGAATCCCGTGATCGAGTCAGAGGACGACGCGAAGGTACTGCTGACTCTCATCCGCGCAGTAGGCGAGGTGATAGCCGCGAGCGAGGCCCAGCGCCCAGCGATGCCGCCAAGGCGAAGCCATCAGATGTATGTTTTATAAACTCGTTGTATTATACCACGGATACTAACACATATTTACAGGTAGAATCGAAACCAAAGCCTGCTCCCGCCCAGTCTGATACCGATAAAAAGGCTGAACGCCTCGCCAAGTTGGCAGCATGGAAGAAGAAGCAGGAGGAGAAGGAGAAACAGAAAGAACCGACTCCAGGTGGAACTCGGAAGCTTCTTGCTGAGATGGACGAAAAGGCTAACACTGTACCCTCGAATACAACACCTGTAGGAGCTTCTCCGACGCCAATATCGCCTGCTGACACGCAGGTCCCTTCGCCAGCAACCCCATATGCTGGTAAATTTGATCCCAAGGCTATCGCTAAAAAGTCGGCTCCTAAAACGCACCCTCCAAGTGCCGCGCCTAAACTAGGTGCCGTTGCCGGTCAGCCGCCATCCATAAGCCTCAGTTCAACCGCACAGGTCTCAAGTGGTGAGTGCTTACACCGGTGTGTCTCCTGTCGGGTTGCTAATAATATTACTGAAGTGTCTGCTCTTCCGCAAAGCAGGGCTAAAACGAGTGGCTTCGGTTTCCACAAGCAAAATGCGGAAACCGAGAAAGTTGCTCAAAAGCGGAAGTTGATACTGGATGAAGAAGAGACATCAGACAGAAAACTTGCTAAGCTACCCTCCCTGCCCCTCGACGACGTAGATGATACACCCTATGAAAATCAGGACGAAGAGGATGACGATGACACTGTTCCTTTCGCCGGGGATGAAGAGGAAGAGGCAGCCGCAGCCCGAGCAGCTCAGGAGAGACGAGAGGAGCGTATCGCGCAAGAGAATGCGCAGCAGACGACGGAAATGCAAGTTGATCAAGGCGAGGAAGAAACCACCCCAGAAACGAATGGTATCACTCAGACTACCCAGCCAGATGATGCCATGGAAGTTGATGAGGATGATGTTGATCCTCTAGACGCCTTCATGAATGATCTTGAGACCAAACCTGCTACTAAACCACGTCCCAAAGCAAGCCTCAACCAGAGTAAAGATTTGCAAGAGCCGGAAGCGTATTTCAGCGACGATGAGTATGACTACCGGAATGAGAATGTGGATCCCGATTCGTTCTTGGCCATCGCGGCGAAAGCTCGCAAGAAGAAAGACATCCCATCTGTTGACTACAGCAAGCTTGACCTACAACCTGTTCGAAAAAATTTCTGGGTTGAACCATCTGAGTTATCAGAGATGACCGATGCCGAATTAGCAGACCTGCGCATTGAACTGGACGGGATCAAGGTATCTGGTAAGGACGTGCCGAAGCCTGTCCAAAAGTGGTCTCAATGTGCTCTGTCGCGGAAAACACTCGATATTGTTGACAGCTTAGGATACGAAAAGCCCACGCCGATTCAGATGCAAGCGTTTCCTACAATCATGTCCGGTCGAGACGTCATTGGCGTTGCGAAGACCGGATCGGGAAAAACTCTAGCTTTCTTATTACCTATGTTCAGGCATATCAAGGATCAGCGACCTCTGAAGGAGAGCGAAGGTCCTATTGGCTTGATTATGACTCCTACGCGTGAGTTAGCTACCCAAATCTACCGAGACTGCAAACCATTCCTCAAATCAATGAACCTTCGCGGAGTCTGTGCATACGGTGGCGCGCCTATCAAAGATCACATCGCCGAGTTGAAGAGAGGCGCAGAAATTGTGGTTTGCACCCCAGGTCGTATGATTGATCTGCTAGCAGCGAATCAAGGTCGCGTGACTAACCTAAAGAGGGTTACGTATGTCGTCCTTGACGAGGCAGACAGAATGTTTGATATGGGCTTCGAACCCCAGGTAATGAAGATCTTCGCGAATATGCGGCCAGACCGCCAGACAATTCTCTTCTCGGCCACCATGCCTCGTATCATGGATGCGCTGGCTAAGAAGGTTCTAAACAATCCTGTAGAAATCACTGTAGGAGGGAAGAGCGTTGTCGCCCCTGAAATCACACAAGTTGTTGAGATTCGAGAAGAAAATACCAAATTCGTCCGCCTGCTTGAGCTCTTGGGCGAGCTTTACGACAGGGACGAGGATGCTCGAGCGCTAATATTCGTGGAACGCCAGGAGAAGGCAGACGACTTACTAAAGGAACTATTGCGCAAAGGTTACCCTTGCATGTCAATTCATGGTGGGAAGGATCAAATAGACAGGGACTCGACCATTATAGATTTCAAAGCTGGGGTTATTCCGGTTCTCATCGCGACGTCCGTGGCAGCCCGTGGTCTTGATGTTAAGCAACTGAAACTGGTCGTCAATTACGACGCCCCGAACCATCTCGAAGACTATGTGCACCGTGCTGGCCGTACCGGGCGTGCTGGTAACAAAGGAACAGCAGTCACTTTTATAACAAGAGACCAAGAAAACTGCGCGCCAGGAATCGCGAAGGCCCTGGAGCAAAGTGGACAGGAGGTGCCGCCGGAACTGGATGAGATGCGTAAAGCATTTAGGGATAAAGTCAAGTCTGGTAAAGCCAAAGATCAATCTGGCTTCGGCGGCAAAGGACTAGAGAGGCTTGATCAGGAGAGAGAAGCAGCCCGGCTCAGAGAGCGAAAATCCCATCGGACAGAAGGCGAGGAGGAGGAGGAAAAGAAAGAGGACAAGAATGGCGAGGACAAGAAGGGCGATAAGGCTCTGTCGGCCATTCAGACGGCCTCTTCGGGTATTATCTCTCGCGATGCTGCTGCTCCGAAGATTGATCTCGAACCGAAATTTACTATACACAAGAGGGAAGATGCTGCACCGTCCGCAAGCGCTAGCAATCCCTTGGACAAGGTGTCTTCTGCGATCAATGCCATTAATGCTCGTTTAGGTCGTGCGGGCCAGCTAAGACCGGGCCAACCAATCGACAACAAAGGCCCAGACGCAGGTGCATTCCACGCAACTCTCGAAATCAACGATTTCCCACAGAAGGCCCGTTGGGCCGTCACCAATAGAACTAACGTCGCCAAAATTCTCGAGGCGACTGGAACGTCTATCACCAACAAAGGAACATTTTATCGACCTGGGCAAGAGGTACCGCCTGACGGTGAACCTAAGCTTTACATACTAGTAGAAGGTGATACTGAGTTAATGGTGGCTAACGCCATGGCCGAGCTCACCCGCTTACTCAAGGAGGGTACCATCGCCGCCGCCGATGCGGACAATAGGGCCCCTATTGGTGGTAGATACACCGTCACTTAGGGCCGTAGTGCTCAGGTGTCTTTGTCTTAAGGACAAGTTAATGGATAGTAAGGCAGAGAAAGTTTCGTGAGCTAGTAGGACGAGCGTGCTCTATGTACGAGAGGATTTTATTTGGCGTTTGGCAGGTTGAGGAACAAGGCAGACAGACATACACAGTTCAAATCGAATGAAGAGTCGCTAAGTAATGCTTTGAATTAAAATGGATCAATATGTTCGCGCCTTACTTATTATGTAGCTACCACCTAACTTAGTTATGAGTTCTCGCGTTCGCTGCCTCGTCGGCGTCCCGTTGCCTTATCTCATTGTTACTAAGCTCCTGGAGCGTATCATTGCGTGTCTGCTTCTTCTGTGCTGCCAACTGCGTGCCCAACTTTCCCGTAGACTTGGAGGCCGTAGCATTTGCCCTTGCCTATAAATGATAGTTTAGAATAGACGGTATAAATAGACGGTATAAATAGACGGTATAAATAGACGGTATAAATAGACGGTATAAATAGACGGTATAAATAGACGGTATAAATAGACGGCATGACTAAATTTGCGAGGTAGGTGAGATAGGAGACGTTACCTCTGCAGCTTCGGCAGCTCGTTTCCGAGCCTCCTCCGCGTTGCTATTGTCTTGTGGCTTTTGAGAGTTTCCGCCCAACGTCCGAGGCGGACCGCCGACCGAAGCCGGGACGGACGAGCGTTCTGGTTGAGGCGGGGCGGAACCGAGGACACGGCCGGGCTGAGAGAAGTTGTCACTTTCCGACTTGCCGCAGATATTTCCCATCTTTTTTTTATTTTATTTTTTTTATAGAGGCTAGAGGTGGGGATAACCGGACCCAGTAAGGTTCTCTAAACTTAACCTGATCTGTTGCGGGAATGTTTTGCTAAGGTGCGTAATCTAGTAGATGAAACTGGGGTTTTACGTTGCTAGGCGGTCTGTTTGCTATGCGGTAGTGCGATTGATGAATCAAATGAGGCTCAAGAGATCTGTAATGCAAGAGTTGAGTTTAGGTAAGCTGCTTAAGGTAGATTTACATACATTACATACATACGCACTGACACATGCACATGTGCGGCTGGCTTCTTACCGAAACGAGCTTTAGGACCCTGAAAGCTGAGGTGGGGTTAGAGGGGGAACGTATATCTACATGATTTATACAGAATCAGTATTGGGTATTCAGACGAGTGTGGTCGTAATTTTGTAAGTACTGTGTAGGTACTCGCATGTTCTCAGCCTCCCATTTTAACTTCTGCTTTTGAGCATGTGCCCGGTACGGGGAGGGACCCACCATGGTACAAGAACCTTGATGGCCACTTGTCACTGTACGCACAGAAGTTTAGCCCCACATAAGCATTTTCTAACAAATCCATGGCCATTCATTGGTGCAAATCAACGTCAGCGCCAAAAAGCACAGTCGAATCCTGCGCCCGGACCAAGCATCACCAATACATACACAATGCATAAAGAAAGAGGCACAAGCGTAGATCTTTGTTTGCGATTCGAATGGGATGGACGACGAAGGGGGTTGCAGGAGGTTGACATTTATTACATGTAGCAGGGAATTAGTGGTTTTAAAGGTTTATTGTTACTGCACCTTGCTTGGTGTCTCTTGACTAAAAAGAAAAAGAAAAAAACTGTTGCGCAGTTACATCTGCAAGTACCGCAACTTTGTCACAACCCCCGACCATCAAGGTTCTCAACCCTCGACCTGAATTCTACCCATTTGCCCACACCACCCTTTCTACCTCTTAACTTTTTCACCTTCTTTTATGAACGAGACGAAGAGCCTCAATTCGTAATATTCCGTGCGGCCGGTGCCGATCTATCCTAATCCTAATCCTAGATCTCAAGACTCACGAGCCGTTGGCGCACTGGCCAATACTGATCTCATACCGAAGACATCAAGTTCCTCTAACAACTTCTTCACCTAGTCCACAAAAGTTACCGACTTAGAATTTCCTTTTTCCTTTCCCGTAACGGGTCATGTTTAGTCGGAACATCCACCATGACTATGTATGGAGGGATGGACGACTCAGTCGATCCCAATGATGCAACTTATGGCCTCCCTCCTCTTACATCGTCACCCTCAATAGAGAGACTCGCTAATGCTCTCACACCTAACTCTCATAACTTCGACAACGCATTTTCCTTTGGTCCGTCATCTTCTTTTGATACCATTGAACCCTCGTCACTAGATCTCCACCATACATCTCACGATGATACTTGCCTAGACAAGTGCGTAGGCACCTTAAACCCTCATGGGATACACCGGAATGCCTTTGGCCCGTCTTTTCCTCCTAGGAACCGGTTCACCATCTCGGCTTTTACATACCCTTATCATCTATCCGAGAACAATGTCTTCCAACAGACGATGCAACAATTCAACCACTTATATCCGGATCCTTTCCCGGATATGGGCCTGAAGTATGGCCTAAATCACGACATCAGGCCAGGGCATCATGGCTCATTTAGTGAGTCACTCCTCGGGAACAACTTCAATGCTACAGACTTAGGGCTTCCGCAGTGCCCTGTTCCTGACGATTGCGCTTCCGTGAATTGTAGCAAATTTTCATGCTCGAGCGACTGTTGTTCCACTCAAGTCTGCCAAGAGGAGGAATGCTCTGGAGATGGTACGCCTTGTGACGACCTGCACTGCTTGGACAGCACTACACAGGCCATCGACGAAATGTGGACTCTCGGCCAAGGCTGGCATAATCCTATACCGTCAGACCTAACCTTGCCTCCACATAACCCGCCTTGTAATCACACTAACACCGAGCATGATGTTGCCATTACCCTGCGGGACTTAAGGGCGCCAGGTGCTTTAAACCCTTCGCAGCAGCAGCAGCATGACTTCGACCAGTTCGAACGCCGTTTCCTTGATGCAACTGAGCATCAACTGGACCCTTCCCAACAACTCTCCTTACCTGTCCACCTTCACCCAAGCCTCTCGTGTACCCCTGAGATAGATTCAATACCGACTCCGTCGAACGAACCTTTTAATGAGGCCGAAGGCACGACTCAACTTGCTTGCCAGTGGATAATATCTCCTGGAGGAGAGGGCCAAGAGATTTGCGGTCATGTTTGCAAGGATAGCTATTCTCTCCATGAGCACTTGTGTAGTGACCACATTTCGTTGCTGACAAGCAAGACGAAATATCTCTGTCTCTGGAACGGCTGTCCCCGTCGTGGTGACCAAGTATTCGCCTCTCGTAACAAACTACGGCGTCATCTTGCAACCCACACAGCTTGTAAGACTATTTCACCCAGTTCTCAAGAACGATACTAACAATGGACAAGACAAACCGCATAAATGCGCAATATGTGGCGAGGGCTTCTCAGCGCAACAAGCTCTTGACCAACACGTTAGAACACACACAGGCGAGACGCCGTATAAGTGCGACTTTGAAGGATGTGGCAAGTCTTTCAAGCAGAAGAGTGCTCTTAGTACGTATACGTACCCAGCCGTTTCGTATCCTACTAAACAGCAGACTAACCTGAGGTAGCTATGCATAAGCGTACTCATACCGGCGAGAAGCCATTGGAATGCGACATATGCGGCAAGTGCTTCTGCGAATCCTCTAACCTCTCGAAACACCGGAAGACACATAATCCGGATTACAAGTTCAAATGCGATGAGCCTGGCTGCACAAGTCAGTTCATCCGAATCGACCAGTTACGGAGACACCAGGCCAGACATGAAAGACCGAAGAAGAAACAGAAGACTCGAATAGCGGCGGGACCAGCTTTATCGCCTATGTCACCAGAAACACCGCGTGACACCGTCCTGGAGCAGCAGGTTTCTATTCAAGCTTAGGGGCCTTGGATATATCCTCGTTTTACGTTTACTTAGAAACGAGATATGAATCAAAAAGCGAACTACATATTGGAAGGCTCTTGGCCAGGGGGAACGATATCATTGGGTTTATAGCATTTGAAAGATTTAGGAGTACGTGGCCCTAAGCGGACAGGATTATAAGCGGTAAATTTTGGGGCACCATACATGATGTACATAAGAGCGTTGAAAAGCGGGAGCGGCAGCGATTCAATTTACGATTCAATTTATCAAATCTAGCGTCTTGTTAAACAAAGTACCGAATTCTAATCTCGTATAAACTAACGTAGTAAATCTCATAGACATGGTGACTTGGGGGCCTAAGTACACTAACATCTACATATTATTTCTTATTGTGTTGTGAAGGTTTGATCCGCACTTGTAATGTAAGGTCAGCCGATCTTGTACGTGGAGTTTGGTTGTCTAGTCGGTTATCATGAGGTGACTGTTCGATTTCACTGACATGGTCACCAAGGTGCTTACCTACTATACTACCTAATTTACTATGCTTAGAATAATTCGACGTTTCAAGAGAACGAGGACTGTCTTGCAATAAAATGTCTTCGTCACTACATACTTACATTCATATGTATAGTTATCTCATATCTGGAAAGGCCTTGCTGGAGCTGCGTACCTATATAAGTATCATACGGTAAAACGGTATTTTCTTGATGCTACATGACAGGCAACCTCGCCAACCCGCCTCTTTTATCTTCCTTGGCGTAGACGTTTTATAACTTCTCTCGACAACATCTACTCGTAAGCGCTAGAGAACAAGTAGCGAACTAAGCCTGGAAGTCTGTAAAACGTCTGAGAAACGAGTCCTAGCATCGGTTAAACAACATATCCCTTGCGTTGAGTTAGATATAGGTTGTCCTCGAAGCTGCTGTAAGTGACTTTGTTGGTTTAAGTTGAAAGGACGAATCGTGTTAGGCTTGCTGCTGGTTACTGACACTCATGGTGTCTTTAGATAAATTAATGGACTTCTAATTGTAAAATTTGTAAAGAGCTGTTTTCAAATCCCGCTGCTGGATAAGCGTAGCCTATGGGTATAGATGCTGATGCTCGGGTAAACGCTCATATATATGTATGTACCTACGTAAGTGAGAAATTTGGAGAGTCTAGGGTTTAGATGCTATAAGGGGGTAATAGGGATTGAATATTAGCCCTCTAGTTATAGGAATATTCTCTATTACTATAGGTCATAGGTCTCCTAGAAATGTATAGATTAGCGAATGGAGGTAGGAGCTAGTATATATCTGCTTAGATCTACGAAACAGTTGGCGGGACTAGATGGTCTAGAAAATTAGATTATCGCATGCCGATGCTGGTATAGGTGAATGTAACGTCTTGGACTGATTTTTACTTTTACTAGTTATTTGTTAAATCTATCATAGTAATGCAGCTTAATATAGGGGGAGCCAACGTCGGTTTTCGATTAATATAGCAGGTAGTCACTTATATTTGAGACGTTGGCGAATCACAGAATCACATATACGCAGTAAGCCGCGAAAACTTGTTCAGCGCCCGAAGGCAAGTCTTTTTGCATTGGGCAGCGACATTGACTGCAAAGTGTGACCTCGTAAACACCTATGAACCGAAAAAGCCGTGTGATGCCATGCAAATATCAGGATTCCTTTTTTTGGAATGACCACGACGCCCGTCTACTACCTCAAAAAGCGTCCACGTTCCCCTTTCCTATAACCGAACCTATTCGTCTAAGCAGCCTATGGATACCCGTCATGTTAGCTCGATGGCCTCAGTTGAATAGAACGATATCCTCGTAGCTATTTTGTGCACAGCTAGATTCGGGGGGGGCTCAGCGTACCTTGACAGCGTACTTTCGCTGGGGGAAATGCGAGGCTCGCTTGCGTGTCTTCTCGAGGGTCTTGGACTTCTCTTCGGGCGACAGTCGGCGGCGGATGGCACGGGTCTGCTTAGGTCGGAGGTCCAGAGGGAGGTACTTCTTGTTCTTGTAGAACAGGCGTAGCTGTGATCGTTGCTTAAGGTTCACGACTGTGAGGACACGGGCGATAGACTTTCGGAGATCGTGGCTAGAGAGAAGGGTGCATTGTTAGTGATGAAAATCCTATGCACAGTTGCCTTTTTTTTCTTCACTCGTGACTACCGCGGGGAGGCTCGAAATGGTGTAAACATACATCTTGTTGAGCTTGCTACCGCTGGAAACGACCTGCTGGATGCGGAGCTGGCCGAGCTCGGTCTTGAGCTCTCCGAGAGTCTTCAATAAGTCCTCCTTGCTCTTGTTCCAGAGCTGACCCGTCTTGACCTTAGAAGTCGACTAAAACGAAGAATTAGCGATTAGCGGCGATAATTCGATATTTTGACGCGTGCGGCGGTCGCATTGATTGATCGGTCGACTTACCATCTTGAATGGCTGGATGTGTTAGTAACGAGGTGAGGTCGGGTCTCCGGTAAACTTTTCTTGAGGTTGTCTTGAAATTTCCGCCTAGAGAATTTGGTAGACTGCTAAAAGAATTGATTTGGTCGCAGTAGGGTTGTGGGCTGAAAAGTTTGGTCAGGTGACTGATAATCTAAAAAGTCCCGCTTTTGTGCAGCTAGACGAGCGCTACCTAGTCCCATGAGTACGTACTTCACTAGCCACACCACCTTGAATGCACAGCCATACAAGGTACATAGATTATGTATCTAATACCTAGTACGAAAGCCTCGAACATCACGACCTTTTACTAAAGCCATTATCATCATCAACGTACCACTTACACAAGCGCTCCCCGCGTCCATTAATTTTACGACTTATACGAATCCTCTATCAGCGTTACCTAGGGCTACTCGTTTGTTGTTAGATGTAGTAATACCAGTGCCTGGCTTTCAGCAACGTATCCTACATTACGAATTGCTTACATGGGACGTCTACATTAAAGAGGCAGTCTCTGCGTAATTTCTCCCACACATTCTGCTTCGGGGATGACTAGTACCTCTAGAACTCGACCTTGATATCCAATTTTCATAATCCAACTTCAGCTATGGCAGCGCCGACAGGGAACCAGGGCTGGGCTCAGTTGCGCCAACAAGCTCGAAGCTTAGAGTCCCAGGTACTACACATACCAAATATGCGCAAAGTCAAGGCAATACTGACCTCACAACTCATAGACGGAGACGCTGTTTCATACGTACTCGCAATTCTCTACCGTCCCTAATATCCCGGCGAAGCCGACTAAGGAGGAACGAGAGACGGAAGCAAAACTAGAGGAGATACTCGATAAGGTAGAACTACGCCATCTAACTTGCCTGCCGAACATTGGGCTATGCAGACCTTAACTAACTGCTATCTAAAGAGGGACAATGTCGTCAACCAACTTACGCGTCTCCTAGACTCCGAAGCGAGCCTTACATCCTCCGCCCTCAAGCAGAACAATCTCTCCCTACTCCGCGAGAAGCTCGCCGAGCACAGACGGGATCTAGGACGGTTACGGTCCGGCTTACAGGAAGCACGGAACCGCGCGAACCTACTCTCAAACGTCCGCGATGACATCCAGACGTACCGAGCGAACAACCCCGAAGCCGCCGAGGCCGAGTACATGTTAGACGAGCGCAACCGCATCGACAACAGCCACAACATGGTCGACAGCGTGCTTAGCCAAGCCTACGCCACCAACGAGAACTTCCTCGTGCAGCGGGAAACCCTCGCCAGCATCAACCGGAGGATCACTATGGCCGCGAGCCAAGTCCCTGGCTTAAACACCCTGATTGGCAAGATCTCGGCGCGGAAGCGGCGAGATAGCTTTATCATGGGCGGATTTATCGCGTTCTGCTTCGTGATCTTTTGGTTTTTATTGTAGGCGGTAGTGGCGGTAGTAGCGGTAATGAAGATGGGCGGCTTTGTCTTTTTGGACTAGGGTGGGAATACCTTGGCTTTTCTAGTTGGCATTATTTCCTGCAAGGCGTTCCGGCTATTCAAAGGGGACGAAAGTATGCTGTATACTATACTATGAAAGGGGAAAAGATATGCCAGAGAATTGGTCATAGAAAGCCTATCAAATGGATAGCGGTAACTAATACGACCAGCTCGCACCGTCGTGATCTAACATAGAACAATCAAGGGGAACTTTTAGCGTGGAGCTGTTTGCCTTGTAAATTGAGGAGCGGGTATCATTTTTGATCATGGCACGTAATAATTAATACATGACCTGTTAAGTTTTCTTCGAGCTCTTTGCCTCATCTAGAAGTCGCTGGACGCCCTTGACTAATCCCTCTCGTTCGTGATCCTCGCTAGGACCACTGCCTGCCCATCGTATCCTACATTCGCCGTCGAGGAGGTATACGTAACCGACACTGCTATTTAGAAGACCAGTGTTCTCGCGAATCTCATCATTCAGCCCCTTCCGCACAATGAAGTACCGGTCCCAATTCGGCTCGCCAATCCGCCGTCTGATTCCGCCCATAAACAGCTTAATCAACCAGGCCTTCATGGAGTTGTCCTCGTAGTTAATCCAGACTCGCTGGACCGCGTCCTTGTTCTGCTCCAGCACCGTCTCCAGCTCGGGATTGGCTTCCTTGGACACGAACGAGTTGATCTGGTTCTCGGCCCACACGCTGCTGAATACGCTGACGACGGAGATCTTGTCCTGCAGCGTGGGCGTCGTGTCGCGGGGCTTGCGGTCGCTCTTTAGTAGGGTTCGCCCGAATAGGTTCGGGAAGAAGAGAGATAGGTCACTTTTGAAGGGTCGCGGCGGGGCGAAAAATGTCTTGCCCTTGTGGAAGCGCAGGTTGCCCCAGTCGCGGTAGTACGGGCGCGACATCTTGCTCATCCTGTGGGTAGCGGGGGATGTTAGTTAGCTACCCCGCCAAAGCATTGTGGACAATTAAGGGGGGGGGGGATATGTGTGCCATACAGTTCGTCGCGCCGCTTTAGATGCTTGTCGTAGTTTACGAGGTCATCGCGGCGTTGTTTTAATGTCCGGTTGTCTATGCCCGTGTTCTCGCCCGGTTTTGGTGGCTGCGGCATGCCTATCGGCCGGTTCAGCGGCTTCGGCGTGAACTCTTCGACCCGCTTGCCGTACGACCTCGGCGCATCTTCTAACGGAGAAGGAGGTATAACCTTGGCCGGGGCCGGCGAGGCCGGTGTCTCCGTTTTGGCCGGTTTATTACTCGCGGCGGGCTTTACAGCCTTCGTAGTAGCAGGAGCTTGCTCCGCCAGCAAGCGGTACGAGGTACTAAATGCTCTTGATTGGCAGAGCAGGCATAGGAGCCTCGGCCTACGGGCAAGCAACATGATTCGAGGAGATATAAAGCTACTAATAATACATTTCAATTAGATGGTTGGGAGCTGAGGCTGAGCGGGTGCTGCCGTTAGCATCACGCACTTCGAATTCCAACGTTTGTAAAATTTCACCAAGGCCGAAACTAAAAGATTAAAAAAGATTACCTAAGTGACATTAGGTACCTATCAAGTGGCATTATCGCTCACATATCAAGGTTGGCGGCACGCCTGCAGGAACGCGACCTATGTAGTGGATCCAATGACTTAGATGACATGGTCATCCAATTGTAGTGGGGTAAGGGTATAAAGCCTTGAAAGCGGCCGTGCTACCGTGGCGGGCTGGACGGCCACAATCGGCTTCCCCAGATTCCGGAAAGCAACGGCACAATGTGGGGGAATTGGAAGTCGTCGGTTCAAGCCCATAACGTTTTGAAAGGGCGGGAAGGTCAGCATCGTTACCTAGCTTAGTCTCTCCCCTCTTACCTTCCTCTTCTTCCATGAGCCGAGCTTCCCATGTATTAGTTGCGTCTCGTTTCGTTTCGTTTCGTTTTTAGATATCCAAAATGTAATCTTCCTAATTCAACTATATACCCATCTATACAATGTTTCTTCACCGTAGTTCTCACGCAATTCGCCATCAATGGCGACTGTGCCGGGGTCTAAATCGCACACCCGAGTTCCAAGTCCGCGCGGCCCTAATAAGAAGTTTTCATGCGAGCAGGAATCTACAGGTCGTGAAGCCCGTCCTCCTTGCTGATATTGGCGAAGGTGAGTATTTATTCATATCAGACCGTTATCTCCCCCCATCTTCGTGTTGGTACTTACACCACGTATAGGCATTGTGGAGTGCGAAATCATACAATGGTTTGTCGAACCCAACGCCCGAGTCGAGGAGTTCTCACCCCTGTGCGAGGTCCAGAGCGATAAAGCCTCGGTCGAGATCACAAGTCGCTTCTCGGGCGTTGTGAAGAAGCTATACTACGAGGCCGGCGAAATGGCGAAAGTAGGCAAACCATTCGTGGATATTGATATACAAGGCGGCGCGAGTCAGGAAGCCTTAGACGCTCTTACCACCCCTGAGCCCCCAAAAGAAGGAGCCTCGGAGCCGTTAAACAAGGAATCATTAAGCAAACCTCCTCAGAGCCAAGATACTATAGATAAGGCAGTCGAGCCCAAGTCCCAGCCACCTCCAGTAAAGAAGGGGAAGTATGCATCTCTAGCAACTCCAGCGGTTCGACATCGGTTAAAGGAACTAAATATTGATATAATGGAAGTTGAGGGAACAGGGAAAGATGGTAGAGTTCTAAAAGAAGATATCTATAAATTTGTTGAAAAGAGAGATTCCCCTACGCAGCCATCTCAACCAACAAGTTTATTCCCGGGAATACCCCCGGAGACGGAGAAACAAACCGAGACCGCTATACAACTAACGAATACGCAACAACAAATGTTTAAAACTATGACTCGGTCTTTAGCCATACCGCACTTCCTCTACGCGGACGAGATCGACTTCTCTCAGCTAGTTGAGTTACGCCGGCGGCTCAACAAGGTTGTATCGGAATCAGCAACCGACGGTCAGTTATCGAAATTAACCTACTTACCTTTTATTGTAAAAGCGGTCTCTATAGCGTTACATCAGTATCCCATACTAAATGCCCGCGTCGACGTGGACCCCGAGACCTCAAAACCGAGGCTGGTTCACCGCAGTCAGCACAATATCGGCGTCGCTATGGATACCCCCTCGGGGCTTATAGTTCCCGTAATCAAGAATGCTGGAGCGAAGAGCATCCTCTCCATAGCTGCAGAGTTATCACGTCTGCAATCGCTAGCTGCTGCTGGCAAGCTTTCGCCGCAGGACTTGAGCGGAGGCACTATTACCGTTTCCAACATAGGCAACATCGGCGGTACATATGTCTCCCCGGTCATCGTGGAGAAGGAAGTGGCAATTCTGGGCGTGGGACGCATGCGAACCGTCCCGGCCTTCGATGACCAGGACAATGTCGTCAAGAAGCAGGTCTGCAACTTCAGCTGGTGCGCCGATCATCGTGTCGTGGACGGCGCAACGATGGCGCGAGCCGCTGAGGTCGTGCGTAAGATCGTAGAGGAGCCAGATATTATGGTTCTGCATCTGCGATAGCATAAGCATGGAATTTCTTCTTGATGCCCAAACCAAAGACGGACACCGCGAGGGTGGAATAGACGGGACGCTACCCGCGTATCTATAAGGTGAACCAGTGTTAGGCGCGGCGGGCTCTAGGATATGATATGATAGTTTTTTGGAAGATGATATGTCATATACGATAGCCGGAGATCATAGTCGCAAGGCCAATCACTCCATATATAGCATATAGCATACTTATTCCCCCCCTAACCATAGATATAGTATTTCCGGATTTGATCCTCCTGTTTTCGATAGCCTTATTGCTTTTCTCCCCCCCTTCCCCCCCTTCCCCCCCTTCCCCCAGTACTAGTTGATGTGCATTCATGCATGCATGCATTCATGGACGTAGTCGTCACGCGTAAAGCTACCTACTACAGAGCGAGAGCCATCGGGTTTTATAACTCTTGGCGCTTAGGTATCGCGTATCACCGTGTGAGGTAGGAGATTTTATTCAGAGCCATCGCGTCCCACGCTCTCGATATCGGGTTCACGTGGATCTCTTTCCTTTGTCCGGACTAGACCCCGTCGAATAGGAGGACTGTTTTTTTTTTTGCTTCGAGGGCTATCACGCGAGAGAAACAGCCACGTACAACAGCCGTTCGATGCACGGGGCTGGAAGCGGAAAGCGATGATGATGATGATGATGATGCTGATGCTGATGCTGATGCCCGGCAAGTGTCAAAGTCAAGCGTTTTCTTTTCGAGTCCCGAACGCTGAATGAAGCCTACAACCAACCGCTCTACGCATATCTTAACGGAAGCTAACCTAGGTACTTATCACACGCGCCTAGTTCGAAAGCGGCCGTGGTTAGGGCGGCGCAGGGTTTCCGACGATCCCATCTTCTCTTCGCCTGTCCATGTCTTGTTGTGAATTATCCTGCATACTAGCTACCTATGTAGCTAGTTACATACATACATACATACATACATACATACATACATACATACATACATACATACATACATACATACATACATACATGAAGCTAACTGGTTGCCTTGCCGTGGCATGGACGTATATGAGGTAGATATGGATATGTACCATGTATGTATGCAGACCAGATAGATGCCCGCATGCCCGCATGCCCGCCCGCCAGTTTGCATCTCTGGGCGGATCTTGGCACTATGTAGGTGCGATAGCCTTGCCCGTTTCTAAGCAAGCAAGACAGCAAGACAGCAAGACAGCGGTGGCGTAGGTAACACCGCGACGCAACGCAGCGCAGCGCAGCGTATGTATGTATGTAGATGCCCGCGCATCTCTGGGTACGCTCCAGAAGGATGGCGATACGAGATGTGTCGACATAACTACAACATCAAGGGGGAACTATCCTAAGAATCAATATTCCACCCAGTCCCGACACCTTCCTTATAAGGTCGATCCCGCCCATTTACATCTACAGTGTAGGTAGATCTATTCACCCCAAAAGCACAGTTCACAGTTCAAGCGGGTCCTGCAGCCGCCCCCATACGTGACCCCCATACCCCCATACGACGTATGGCATACGACGTATGGCATACGCGATATGATGAATATACCATTGCTCTATAATCCAATTGTGTCATTTGTATGAATATCCCAAGACTCCTATACAACAGCTCACGCTGCTTGCATTATGCAGTTTACTCGAAAGGGGCATCCCCTCAGCCAAAATGCCTCTAATTGCGCCAAAGTGAAAGCAAGAAACCAACTCCTAAACTCGCTTGAATGGATGACGCTAATCTCAACCACTCATCTGTCGTTTGTAATCGCAACCGTTTATTTCATCCCACTCTATATACCATCCATGTACCATCCATGCCATGTCGTGTTAGCTCGATGCAGTCTCGTCCATTTTCTGGAGAACCTTGTTCAGAGACTCCTCCAGAACATCCTCCATAGGCCTGCTCACGTCGACGCTGATCACGTCCGTCTCTTCTGCCGTCGGCGGCTCCAGAATAGAGAACTGGCTGTGGACCATGTTTGCCCCCATGTAATGTCCCTGTCTTAGCCCCACGCGCTCGAGAAGAACAGCTTCCGGCGCATGAAGGTAGATGAAGTGGAGAACGACGTCGTGCGAGTAGTAAGGGGCCACCCTGATGACATCTCGATACTTACGCTTGAGAGCCGAGCAGGTAAGCACAACTCCTTCGGCGCCATCTGCTAGTTTTCGCAGGGACTCCTCTCGTAGGGCAGTGAGCCAGTCCCATCGATCAGCATCTGTCAACGGTATGCCATTGGCCATTTTTTCAACGTTTGCCTTCGTGTGAAACTTAAGGACCACAATTTAGTCACTTTTAGGGACTTGTAGAATTGCTGGAATTAGGTTAAAACTAAACTTACCTCGTCACCTTCGATGTAAGGTAAGTTAAGGGCCGTTGACAAGTGCTTGGCCACAGTGCTTTTTCCGCAACCGGCAGGGCCAGTGACTAACCAGATATGATGGTGTCTGGGTCCCGGCTGACCATTAGTTTTTGCGATAGTGTTATTCGACGTTACTGGTACCATGGTGGCATTAATAGGCTTCGGGTTCGGCGCCATAGTATTTATCGAAGCAGCCATGCTAGCCGCAGAGTGCTTTCCATTTACTGGGACGGGATTGTCGTAGGATAACATGGTTATATAAGTTGTTTTTTACTTTTTGCTTTTTGTCTTCTGAAGTGGCAATGGTTGATATTGGTAATACTCAGCGACAGAAAGCCACAGTGTGTATTGGACGTAGCTTAGCCACTTAATGTATGAGTCGAACCAGGGGTATATAAGAACAACAAACTTCGCGATGTAATTCATGTAATTCAGGAGACAAGAAAGATCAAGAAACAAAATACAGGAAGTCGGTGGTAATTAAAGCAGCGCAATATGGTAGAACTAGGGCAGATGGCAGTGGACCCGATGACTGTCGGCGAAGGGTTGGCTTTATAAGTGGGTGTCAGCACCTGGTATGTACATCACATCACAACAGGCCTTGCTCCTACAAACGTAGAATGACGAAGTAGGTACGAAGTAGTGTACTTTAAAACCTGGCTGTTTTGTGCCACATCTGGGCAGTGCCGACGACCGCTAAGATGGACAGAAAAATTCAGCGAAAGCCTAGTACCTGAGATCCCCGAGACGGGGTCGGGGATCGGTTTGGGCTAGACGCTAGAAGAAGCTCGAGAGAACATCAAAGAAGGCAATTCCTTATGAGAATAAGCCAATCAGATAAACGGACTCCCGTCTCCTTGGGGCTCCAGACTTACTCGACGTCAGGGAGGGGCGCGGGTAAAGGGCCAAGAGGTACCTAAACAGGGTACTCTATACTGGTTCTACATACCTAGCATGCCCCAGAAGTACATATTTCTCCATCTTAAAATAATAAAATACGAATACACGACTCAAGTGGGGGAACGCATCGTCAACGCGAGAACCGATAAATAGGCCCGAGTTGGATGTCGCGAGTTGAAAGCCAGACCCAACAAGCGAACGGCATCCACTAGACCGAGAGATTCTGCCCGCCGGCGAGGATCTGCATCAAGTTTGCCTACGGGCATAACTCGCGAGCCGTTGAATGCTTTTTCCCTTGCCAGGGATTGGAAAAGTGTGTGTTGCGGTTTCAAGGTTACCCAACCCACGGTGTAGGGGAAAACGAAAGCATGGCTTGACCGGAGCCAGCGCAGAGGGTGTACATTAGGAGAAGGGAAAGTTGGTAATGAGACATAATGAATAACGAATGGAAATCAACAATTTCGATGTAGGTGTTACAGCCGTGGGCCAGTCAGGACCGTAGTAGTAAAGTAGCTGACGGGTTGTGTTGCGCTGCCCATTGTTGAGGTGTTCAAGAACAGGCTGAACTTGGAAGGGAGGGCAAGAAAGCGTATGCAAAAGGTACTACGGTACATCTAGAACTTGGGGTCATTGGTCATTTTCCTGCTGGGTTTGGGGAAGGAGTTGACGACACACCGACACCTATGTACATACATAGTAGTAAAGAGCCACTATGTAAGAGCCACTAAGAAATTTCCCCTTTTTTTAATTGCCCTTCCACCTTGCCGGCATAGGTAATTTATTTAGTCTCCGTGCTTTTTTCTTTTTTCTTTTCTTTTCCTTTTTTTTTTTTCTTTTTCTTTATCTCTTTTTGGTCACGTATCCCTTATTTCTTTTTTTTGCACTATGCATTTTGTTGTTCCTCCTTTAATTTATTATTGCTCCTCTCTCGTAACCTATTTTAGAATTCCGCGCTGTCTCCTGGGTCATGAGATTAACTGATTCGATGGGTCTCGGTGCAAAAGCATTCGAGGTGTGCTCCAGCTATCGAGTACGTACCTTATACTATGTAAATTGTACATAAGCGTGGGGGGTAAAGATACATTAGGTACTTAGGTACTTAGACGTATTGGTATTCCACTCTTTTACATTAGGCTGATGGAAATTTTATCGAACGAAGCATCGAAGCCTGAACTAACCGATACCAAGTTCGCCCTAATGTGAGAATGGAAAAGTGTGGAGGAAAACGTGGTGAGGACAGGGAGAAGCAAATCTATGGGTCACGAGCTGATCACTTCCAGGTTCGATTGTACCTGAGTCCCCGTTACTTCCTAGAGGTCAGCTATGTACGATGGTACAATGGTACAATGGTACAATGCTGTTTGATGCAAAACATCAAGCGCTTGAAGCGAATTTGACTATGATGGATGATGACGACATGCTTTATATATCACAAGAATGTCATAAGAACAAATATTACCTACCTACCTAGATCGGGTACGTATTTATGGAGTGCGATCTTTTATCCTCGTTAAAACTAGCGACAAATTGGCCACGAAAACTTTGGCCCTATCAGAGCCCAGGACGAAGACGACGCACATCTGGCAGGGCTAGGTAAAACTATGCCATCACATTGGACCAGATCTTTAACGCGATTCTAGTGCATATATTTGGCTTGCTATAGAACATATCGAGGACAAAAGGACGAGGTCAAAACCACTACCTCTCCCTCTCGCAATATATTACCTTCTCACAAGCCCTTCTATTAAAAGGTTCCTCTGCCTATCATCTTACCAACTTGTACTTGATATCGATTTACTCCAAAAAGTGATAGGTTTCTTGGTGTAACAATGGCTAATCATCCACAAACTGGTCATATTCCTTATTTAATAATAAAGGTCAATCGTCTTCTATTATTATGTACCTACATATGTATTATATAGCAAGGTAGTATTTTCGTGTCCATATTATACATTTTCTATACCGGCGCTACCTGGAAATTATCAAACGTTCGTATCGCTACGCGCATATCAAAATCCAACTATCCTTCTCC